TCAAGTTGGCTGTTGTGATCCTCTACAAAATACACAGTCACTTCACTTTACATTAAATCCTGTGAAGCACTTTAACATTCTGACAAATAAGGTTTAAAGATTCCTTTGATCTCTTGTGAGAGAAGGGAGTTTCTCCTAGTTTCCTGCTCAATACTGAGTACTCTGGACCCACCTGGCTCAGGAACTGGACTACCGGGCGGTGCGAAACCTTAGGCAAGTTTGTTTACTCCACACATCTCTGTTCATCTAGCAGTAAGTGGGAACCTGGATGTTAGTCGATTGGTGGCTTGCTTTTCTGGGTTAATAATCCCTTCAAAAGTAATAATAATAATAATTTGGTCACTCAATTAATGACTCTTTGTGGGACACTGCTGTGACTAATTGGCTACCGAGTTTCACCCACAAAATATACAGGAGCATACTGTTTAATGACTGGTCAGGAGATGGGAACATATTTTCCTCAAACAATGATAAAGCTTCAAAGTCCAGATGTTTGGTTCCAAGATCCTTGTAAAAGGACAATAGCACCCTCCAGCGACAGCAGGGCATATTTCATCATGTTAAAACAAGTTTTCAATAGCCTTGCATTTGATATAAATTCCGTTATGTTAAATGTCTCACAGAACTTCACAGGTAATTGTTGCCAATCATACAGACAATCATATTTGTAACGAAATATCTTTCTGATTTATAAAAAAAAACTTGCATTTATATAGCGGTCCTCATGCAGACTAGAGCCCCAAAGCGCTTGACAGTGGCAGAGCACGACACTGAGCCAGGAGGAGGCAGGAGGTGACCGTAGGCATGGTCAAAGAGGAAGGTCTTCAGGTGTGATCTGAAAATGGGGAAGTAGGGCACATGGATCAAGCAGGAGGCCAGAGCCAGTCGAGTGGAGGCAGTAGGAAGTGAGTTGGGAAGTAATAGGGAGGTGCCAGGGCATGAAGGGATTTGAAGATGAGTGTGAGGATCTTGAAATTGATCCATTTGGTGATAGGGAGCTAGTGGAACCTGAGTAGAACTGGTGTGATGGGGTACCCAGAGTTTATTGTGGGTGAGAATGTGGGCGGCAGAGTTTTGGATTAATGCAGCACACTCACAGGATTGCAATGGTTTCAGCCGAGACTATATGAGTTCAAAGTCCCAACGTCCTCCTGACATGAAAGGCGCTCTATCAAATGCAAAGATTATTATTAATTCAAGAAGTGTTAGTCTGAAGTTAATCGAAACTCCAGCACAATAGTTATACAAATGTATTTCCGCGGTGTTGATGCTGGAGATTTCTATAGATAATGTGGCAATTGAAGGATTAAAAAACAGCAATGTGCAAATTTGTAAAGGGAAGAAAGTACGAGGCAGAAATAATCCAAGTCCATAAACAGCATGTCAAGGGGAATTAGATGAATACTTGTTGAAAAATAGGATTAAAGGTTCTGAGGAAAAAACAGGGACCAGGATTAGACAGATGAGTGAGCGACCTAGCACAGATATGGTGGATTTTGCTGTAAACATTTTAGGATTCTATAACATCTAAAGTACGCTCCACACTAAACATGATTTTCACTGGTAAATATTTATAACAGAAATCCTATGTGGAAAGAAAGGCTTACAGAAAAAGATACTGTCAGGGATCTGAATACAAGGGATACAAGCTGTAGCCAAATGCAAGTATTATATAAATCAGACCCCGATAATTCTGGAAACAAGAAAAAGATCCTTTTTCACATCTTTTATGAGACATCACAGTCAATATGTTCTACGGCACCTGAAACAGGTGGTGTGGGGGTATTGTTTAGGTGATATTTCTGTCATATGAACCACACATTCAGTGTTCATGTAACACTCTGGCGTCATCATTCACTAATTAAATCATCTTACAGGGAAATCATTTTATTAAATCTGATTTAATGATTTAATTGTCACCCCCCCAATTATATCTGATTAAAAGCACGACAAACAAAACAAAACCCTTGTTTTTTTGTTCATAAACATTTGTATTTGATTGGAAGGTTTATTTGTTACAGGTGACACACACCAGCTAGTCCCGCTGATTTGTGTCAAATTCCAAAGCAAGGCTCAGTGCTGTTTCTCTCTCTGTGCCCATCATTGTAGCTGCATGATGCGTGCGAAACGGGGTCAGATTTCAGCAGGGAACAAGCTGCAAGCTGTAGTGTTCTCAGCTGCCTAGGTTGAGTATAACATTTCTGGCGTTACAACATGAAGACTCTCTTGTTTTTTTCTTAAAGGGAGGAAGTTTGATTTCAATCATTGTACAGTTTATAAGGCTACAAATAATACCTCGCATTGATAGTGAGCATCTGCACACAATTATGTCTGTGATCAGTTTTCATTATTTTTCCCACAATTATTCTGTAGGAGGTTAGAGCAAGTGACTATTATGATTGTTTTGGTTTACTTCAAACATAGGGCTTGGACAATAATAGGCTGTTTCCACTTGGAGAGTTTGAAACAAGGAAGCATGAATATAAGGTAACACTAGCAGATCTAAAAGAGATTTTAGGAAGAACTTCTTTATGTAGAGGGTGGTCAGAATGCAGAACTCACTGCCAGAAGTTGTGGTTGAAGTAGAAAGCATCAACATATTTGAGAGGAAACTTGATGCATACACAAAGGGGAGGAAATAGAGGGTTATTGGAGAGAGGATTAGGAGGGGTGGAAGCTTGTGTAGAGCATAAACAGCGGCACCTATTATTCGAGGCGAATGGCCTGTTTCTGGGCTATAACATTCTATGTAGTTCTGTGTAAATTGGTGCTGTTCTGTGAAGATAGTAAATAGTCCAGAAGAGTGAGAACTAATGAGGGCTTTCTTCAGACAAGTGAATTAAATGGTGGTTACGTTTACTGTGGTTAAAAATCCAATGGAAAAGAACAAGATTCTATTTTACATCTAGGGATTAATCTTCTGAGTTGTATCACTCATTAATGAGCTTCATTTCTAGAATACAATATAATTATATTAATGATTCAGCAACTCCATTACAATGCTGGCTCCATCAGCTCACACGTCTGCCTTAAAATGAAGTGCGAAGAAATAGCCAATTTCCAGGTTGTCAGGTCACTGCTGATGTCACTGCCTATGTGTTGTCCACTTGCCCGCTATGCACAGAAAGTGAGCTGACATAATTTCCTCCCAGCTGTGACCCTTCCTGTGTATAGCGTGCATGCATGCAATGTACAAGTGACGTCAGTGGTGACCCAACAACCTGGAAGTTGGACGTTTTTTAGCTTGTGCAACTTAGCTTGTTAACACCAGAAGCTGGGAGTACTGTGCTTCTGATATAGCCTGAGTCCATAGTAGTAATAATAATAATATTAATAATAATAATAATAATCCTTGCATTATATATTAGTATTAGTAGACCTGGAGTTAATTGGGGTACGTACTAAAGGACCTGTCATATAATAATCCTTGCATTTGATACAGCGCCGAAGATGCTTAAATGTCTCCAAGTGTTTTACAGAGAATTGCTGTAAAGTGTGGTGCAATTTATCTTTAGCCAATTTGCTCACAGCAATCTCCACAAGCAGCAATGGAGTAAATGACTAATTTGATCTGACTCAGGAAGAAACCGCCTTCCCTTTTCAAATAGTGTCATGCAATCCTGAACAAGCAGACAAAACCTCAGTTTAATGCCTCATTCAAACGATGGCACCCTGACAACACAAAACCTCCTCCAGCTCTTTGTTGGAGTGTCAGTATAACGTGGCAAACTAATCATTTGTCTAACAATATCAATTGCTAATATTTACACCATGTGATCTTTCTGCTTAATTTCCAATGTATTTAAGTAATTCAACATTATGTTCTAGAATAAAGATAACGTAAGGCTGACTGAATTACTCAACAATTAATTTTTAGAAAGTGTTCCATGGAGAGGATTAAAATAACTGAATTAAAACAAATTGAAAGTCAAATGTAACAGGTCACCTTATAATTAGATTCCAGATTTACTTTTTTGTGAGCCAAATCATATTAATGTGGGCCAGCATAAATCTAGCTGGTGTTGCTGTTAAAAATGACTCAGAAACAATTACAATTGAAAGATAACAGGCTGACGGCACTGATATATCATTACAGATTGTATGAAGATCAAATCTGCTATGAACTGTGACATTTTCTCTCTCCCCCCACCCCCAGCCCCCACCCCTTCACCCACAAGCACTTTGTTAGAATGCCACTGAATAAATTATATAATGTAATCACTGGAACCCTCCACCCCTCTGTTCTACCTCCTCCTCTCCACCTGGCTTTAATTCTACCTCTGTGTCTGCACATAAGATCAACTCCCCTGTCCTCATCTCCATCCCTCCTTCCTAAGTGTCGAAATGAAGCACTCCAAAACATTATCCTGTGGGAAAGGTAATATTTATTTGCAAGTTGTTGGAGTTAATAGAAATGTTGGAAAAAAAGTTGTAATGTGTGATAACTAACACCTTGTTGAAACATATCGATGACTAAAGGGATGGACTGATTTGCAGGTGTGATCCCATGGAATCCGTATTCCAGCTCCAAAATCCATTTAAGGGATGATGATGGACTCACTGAGCTCATCCCTGTTAAAAGGGGATGCAGTGGAGAGGTTTCCTGCATTTACAAAGTACAGCATCAAGCATTGAGGTTTGTGGCACATCACTTCCTGCTTAGGTATCTTCCTGCTCAGCTTCCCATGCCAAAAATGGCTGATTTCCAAATCATCAGGCTATCACCACAAATGACATTGGCAGTAACACAATGAACTGGAAATCAGCTATATTTGTTATAGTACAGGAATGGGATGACATCCCAGCCAACTATGCACATATACAATGAAACTTGCTACTGTGCCTCGCTGCAGCACGAGCTAGGATTTGACCATAACAAGGCTCCACTGTAGAAGTCATTTTTGTGTGACAATTGGGTTGTATTTTATGTTACTTCATTTCAGATATGCAAATTTTGTATCCATGTTACACACAGGAAAGATTCAAATAAATTGCCATCATTTTGTGTTATTTCTTTTATCTCCAAAATCTAAAAAAATCATTAACAAGGCCAAAAGATAATACCACAAACACAAAACAACAACAACAACAGCTTACACTTGTAATAGCGCCCTTCACATCGGAAAGGCATCCCAGGGCGAAGGACATCTGAAACAACGTTTGCAAAAAACAACCCATGCTCACTACTTTGTCTATGATATTGTTTCATTTCAGCAGGATATATTACACATATTGCAAAATGTACTCATTTTACACTCTGACTGTGTCTTTGAATGAATGGGTTTTGTCTTCCACATGAAAAAAAATGACAGACTTAAACTTTCAAGTTGTGTTCATAGTGCAGTTACTTTATATTTCAGTCACCTTGACCATATCATCTGTAAGTAACTCTGTCCATCCTTGAAAGGGCTCTATGCTGTTGGGGCCCAGAGTGGTGTGGATAACCTGGCAAATAGCCAGGCATTGCAGGTCGCCTTGGCCCTGGAGGTTGAGTCACAGTTAAGCGGGGTGGAGCAGCAAGCCTTGTTCCTCTTCCAGAGGGTGGATACATGCCTTGGGATGGAGAATGGCTGATGGAACTCTCTCTGGTCTGATGATTATTTGTTTTCTTGTCTGCGGCACTGCATTCCATTCTTTTGTTATCTGTACAGGAAAGAAAGGCAAAAAAAAAGGCATGTTTATTAATTGGTCTCATCGTGCTTTGGAAGAGTATTCTAGAGAGTTGAAATGATCATAATTTAGGACAAATAACCTAAACTTTTATGTTTGTTTCCCAGAAGTATAGGACAATGCAAATGTACTCTGTGAATTGATGTACGCCTGGCTAATTCAGCCTATCTAATCTACAACTACACCGCTGGCTTATTTACACAGAGGGAGACATTTAAACACAAATTCTCTCACCCACACACAGACTCAGACCTAGATATGTAGGTCCTTTCTACTAATTATAGTGAAATTAAAACGGATCAGTCGTTTGAAAATACATCATACATAAGATACTGACCAGTGCAGAACCACTGAAGCTCACATCATTAATGCTCTGTTGATTGTTTCTCCATAAATTGGCATAAAGTGTTTTAATAAAAAATTTTAATACACTTTTCATAAATTTTAACAAAAGTGTTATTTACTTTCCTCATCAGTTAGGAAATACAATGATATAAGCTCAAGGCTTCCTGCTGGGAGACTCAAGGATTCCCCTATTGGTAATAAGCTTCTCCTTTATGACATGTAATAACTGTCGAAATCATATATCTAATTTCCTCAGATGCTCCTCAGATTGGTGCTCACAGCTTCCCGAAACAAAATCTCTAGGAACCTGCACATCGGTCTGTTTGCATCAAGGATGCCAAGATCTAAACTATAGACTTTTCCATCAAAGACTCTGAATGTTATCACACAAAATAAATCAAATCAACGACATTTCATTTTTTGGGGGGAAATATGTTGAATCTTACATGATTTCTGATAAAGATTTTAGATCCAAAGTTTTAAACGTGCAATTTGGGAAGTTGTTGAATTTGATCCTAGGAATAACCCTGGCCCTGCGCTCGAATATGCCACTCTCTATTTATTTTGTGAATGACCAATGCCCATCAAAATAAGGAATTAGTAATATTCTCCATGGGCCAAATGGACTATTTGAGGCTTTTGAGGTCTCTGAACCCACAAGCTTCTGAATCAGAGGTTAGAATTCTACCACATGAACCAGGCTAACACTGAGTTTGTGGGATACCAGATTAACTCAAACTGATCCCATGGAACAACACTGAAACACAGGTGGGGAATCCCAATGGCAGCTACAATAGCCTTCAAGCCTCAACGACTGTCAAAATCAGTGGGGAAGGAGATATCTAAATCACTTAATTTAGATCACGTGAAAATCTTATAAATTGTTGATGTGGTAAAATGCAAAACGTTCTTTTAACTATTAATTATGTAAGAATAATTCCTTTCTTACATGTAGCACCTATAATGCTGAAACATCTCAAAGTTTCATGGGTAATTGCTGTAAAGTGAAGTAAATTGAAGTGATTGTGTATTTGTAGGCGAGTATTCCTTTTAGTGCCCCCCCTGGATTAATTGTCCATACCTTTCAAATTTCTGCTGTTCCCAGTTGCTGATGTAAGTTGTGTGGGCTGCGATTCTGTGTTGATTACCGAGTTTTTCAGATCCTCCGTCTGTTCTGCTGCAACTGTAACTGCTCTTTTGTTTCTCTTTTTATTTTCCTCATTTTGCTGTTTAAGAATTTCAACCACATCAAATTAGAGCTTCGCTTCTCAACACCTAGCTCAGTCTATCACAATAACAATTTTGCATTTATATAGCATCTTCCACATTAGGAGGACATCCCAAAGAGCTTCACAGAACTGACTGGGAGCCCAAGTTGCGGTTCAGGGGTGAGCTGAGGAAAATGGAGTAAATAAGGGGTAGAAGGTTACCAAAAGCACAATCAAAAAGAAAGATCTTAAGGGCTTCACGCACCATTCATTGAAAATGGTTATGTTTCCTTACTTGTTTGTTGTGGCAATTTGCAACATAAGCAAAAACAATTATCAATGGTACTCGTCACTCATGTATCATAGACTTTACAATGCTAAAGAGTGACGGTAATATAATGATCAAATACTTTAAAGGGAAACTGTTTTCACTGAATTGTCCCATAATCTTGAATGTTATCAAGGGTGATTGCAGTATTTGCCACTCACTTTCTCACTGTACTTTGTGCTTTAAAACCCATGTCTAGAGGCAAATTGAGGTGGGAGCTGTATTTTATGTGACATTTAAGTGATGTTATATCATTACATTCCACTCCAGGGAAATTCTAACTAAGTAATATCTGTAAACAAGTTAAATGTTAATTTAAAAAATGAAAGATTTGAAAATACATAGGTCTAAATTGTCTCAATGAGATTTTATATTCCCACATGGTGGAGGATTGTACAGAAAATAACTGTTTTCAGTTTCTTCACGACTCTTCAAGTTGCATCGGAGGCACAGTGATGTAGGTACAACTGAGTTTGCCCTTTGCAACCGTAAACCTATGTCTTATGGTTCTAAAATAAAAACAGAAGTTGCTGGGAACACTCAGCAGGTCAGGCACCATCTATGGAGAGAGGAAAGTGAGTTAACGTTTGAAGTCGATGACCTTTCGTCAGTTCTGTTTTTATTTCAGATTTCCAGCATCTGCAATATTTTGCCTTTTGTTTCCTCTGGTTCTACTGTATTGGTGCATCCTAAAGTATTGATCTGGGTTTATGTTTTCAATCCCATTTAAAATGTTATACATGTCTGAGATCTCCTCTAAGTCATTTTCTTTAAAGACTGAAGAGCCCAAGCTTGTCTAATCATTGCCAATAGCTCATTCCTCTAACCCTGGGGATCATCCTTGGTGCAGCCCCTTATGTTGTGGTGACCAGAACTGTATGGAGTACGTTAGGTGCGGTCTGACCAAAGAGCACTGTACACCCTGAGTATGAAGCCTAGGGATTGAAACAACTGTTTTAGCATGTAGGACTCCACACACTTCCCCTTTATATGTTCATTAAAGCCAATACTTGCGTTTTGTAATTTCTTCTTTAACTCCATGTTTGCAGCCTTATATGCTTTCGAGGTTGACTGTAGATAATAAATACCCAGACTGCAGAAGGGCAAAAACACACCACAATTGATTTCTTTAAACTGAGAGCAAACAATCTGCTTTCAAAACAACATATTTCCAATCGTTGACTCCCAATATTATTTCTCTGCTCTAATTTCAAACAATAAAATTGCTGGGTGTTTTCAAAGTATGTTCACAGAATTAAACATTTTTAATTAAGAATTCATCCAAACACACTGAATAAAGGGATTCACTCAAAGGGGTGAAGTTTGCAACATTTCATAACATGATTCTTTGTGATAACCACTTCATAATGAGTTATTCCTGTGACAACTATGGGCTGTTATACCATGAAGCTCCACTTCAGTAATATTGTGAATATGTAACGGCTTAGAAAAAAGATCCTATACAAACACCCACCTTCTAGGACTGAGTCTACACTGTTCTGTCCTCTCGTAACCCAATAAACTCTTACTTAGCTGAGTCATAGAAACGGTGTCTAGGTAGTAAACCTCAGTGATACAAAAACCATACATGCCTAAAGCTATAGAAAGGAAGAATCCAATTTAGAAGGGGTTTTCCTATTTTCTTCAAAAATATACAAGATTGTATGCCTTTCTGTTGAGAACAATTCTATCTTTTCTGCTAATCACCAAAATAGTGGTTCATAAATATATTTCAACTTTTCTGCCTGCGACTCCTGCGGTTTTATTTGTTTTGTGTGTTTATTTGGTACATAATACTTTTTTTACATAATACATTTTTGTAATGGGTGAAAAAATAAAAATATAGAACATTTAAACATATTTGAAAACTTTACAATGCCCATCAGGAAATATTTCAGATTATACCCCACTCCCATATTTAAACAGAATACATGAATACATTGAAATGCTTATCAATGATGTGAGATGTTAAAAGGGAGTTTATAAATACGTATGCGAGTAACACATACGGGAGCAATACAAAGACCTCCATGCTTTAAATGTACCAAAGCTCAAAGTTGTAAATTAAAATGTGCTACTTACACCATGAGCAAAATGAAAGGTATAATCAACCCAGGATTGGATGCAGAACTAAAAACCTTCCCAAACCAAGGTGGAAAGTCACTCTCCAGAGTTTCATGAATGACATCAAACATTCTATTTTTCCCACTGTAATAATGAATGAGAAAACCTGTTAAAGTCACATCATGCTCCGCTCAATGTGATCTTAAAGCACAAAGTATTACAGGATCACAATTGCTAAACTATCTAAATACACTTGGTTCCTTAAATATAACCAGGAATAATTAATGAATAGTTATCAACCGGAAACTGTTCTTCATGACAGTTTTGAAACTGGACACCCCAAAATCATATGGGGAAATGATTTCTCTCCTCAAGCTTTACACAGTAATAATAAAATATATGTTTTAAATCAAGTTACATATGTACATGTGTGGCACACCTATTTTATCATCCTGTGGTCTGACCACACTTTCGGTCATGTTTCCCCTCCCCACCCCCTTTTGCCACCCACCAGGTGTCAAGCCATCATTGTTAAGAGCCTTTAAACGTCCTCCCAACATGAAAGGCCCTCAATCATGTATTGTCAGCCTCGTGGAGTCCTGTAGCTCAGTGGAGTCCTGTAGCTCAGTGGTTAGATCACTCGCTTTGCAAGTGAGAGACCTGAGTTCAATTCCAGGCATAGTGAAACCTTGGGCAAGTTTTCTTACTCTACACGCCTAATAACAATCCCTCCAAAACCAAAAACAATAATAAATTGGTCATTTTCAATCTACGACTGTTTGTGGGACATTGCTGTACATAATTGGCTGCTGCGTTCGCCCACAAATATGCAGTCAATTCACTTTACAGTGTGTTTTGTGAAGCGCTTTGGGACGTCCTCCCGACGTGAAAAGCGCTATATCAAATGAAAGGATTATTATTAGTAGTATTATAGTGGTGTGGAGGGGTAAGACAGAAGCTTGAATTTTGCAATTCCCAGATAAGTTCCTGACCTAAGCAAAGAGATCAGCAAAAGCCAGTGATCCATGGCAAGAACCCTACCTATAGGAAAACATCAGGAATCACAAGATCACTTGAGATTTGTGGATGAAAATAAACTCAAATCCTTCCAAAATGTTAATCCTATCATCTTCCTGTTACAGAATCAATCAGTTTCTTAAATGAGTCCAAAGCCTCAAACACTGTTCCCCCTAACCCACTCCAGCTACTGACGCCCAAATCAACACAGGCTAATCTCATGTACCTTATCAAGATGCATCACAGAATACATTATCTTGTTTTGTAGCTGGGAAGCCTAAATAAGAGTAGAAAATAAATAAAACAAGAGCAGGAGAGGTAATGTATATAATGTTACAAAAACGGTCTCCCATTGTACATTGGAAATCTAATGTAGCTTGCTCCTCAATCCTATCACCACCCCTTTCTTTGAATTGGTTCCAAACTAAACATTATTCACCTAAATGGGCCACAATCAAAGGATGGTGGTATTGAAACAATGGTGTAAACTGCAGGCAGTGTTGACAGGAACAAGATGAACAGGAGCATTGCCATGTAGAAGTTATTGGATCTTGAAGCCTTGAACACCCGCTCATGTGGAACATTACAGCACATGACTGCCCAGCACTGCAGGTACATGGAGGCAAATAGACGCAGAATATTGATAGCTGGGAGGCACGGAGCATAAAATGCACCCATCCTAAAAAATATAACAGAAATTACTATCTTATGTATCTGTCTGCAGCTGTAACAGAATTTACATTATACTCTGTTAATGCAGCTTAAAATATAAACCCAGGGAGAAAATTCTTAGTTGTCACTATGGTTACTGTTATTCGGGATGTATTTGTGCAGATTACAGTCTGGAAGAAAATGTAAACAAATGAATATTTAAAATGATGTGCACCGAGAGGTTATTTTGAAGCTTGCTGTCTTTGAAGTGTTGTTTTATTTCATGAGAGGCCATATTTACTGAACAAGACTGGTTAGATTTATAGTGGAGTAATTAGCACATCAAATCCATGAAGATACTTCAGAATTTCTGGCAATAATTACTAATTCCATTGTTGTTCTGGGTTGTGAGCATCTTCAGTAATACATTTCTGATGGTGATCACTGAAAAATATGTAGGACCAATGAGTTTTCAGGATTCCCCAGAATGCTTCACAAAAGGTATAATCTTTTACTATCACTTGGCTCTCTGTGCCCTAGCGAATTGAATTCAGGCTCCTCATCCTCACTTTGAAATCACCCCAGAGCCTTTTCTTACCGTGTCTCTGTGACCTTTTCTTACCGTGTCTCCTGCAACCTCACTGCCCCAGCCACTCCCTCCACTCTGCAAACATAGGCTTGCTTCATACCCCCAACTGATCCACCCCATCATTGTTGGGGAAGCTTACAGCCATTCTGTCCGCACTGAAACTCTAACTTGGAGTCCCTCTGCCTTGAATCCTCCCTCACTGCCTTTAAAACCAGCCTGAAGACCTTCCTTTTCAAACACACTTTTTGCCATCTTTTCCCTTCTCTCCCCCATCAACTGTGTGAAGCACTTGGAGACATAAATGTAGATTGTTGTTATTAAAACTACCTTTTTCATATTTGTCACAGAATTATTATTACATAGAATTGCATAGAATGATATGGTGCAGAAACAGGCTATTCAACCTAACTAATCTGTGCTGGTGTATACTCCACACAAGCTCCCACTCCTCCTATTACCCTCACCTATACCCCTATATTCTAGTCTCCTTCATATATGTATCAGGGGTTCTCTTGTTGATGCTTTTTGCTTCAACTATAGTTTCAGGAATGAGTTCCATACTTTTGAAGGTGAGTTCCAATGTCCTATTATATATAGACAGTGTGTAATGTGATGTTTTGCTGCCGTTTCATGGAATACCAACGTAACGCTAATCTTTATCTAATAAATTCAATACATTCTTACTGCCAAAGAAAATCTCCCATGAAGACAACTGATTAGGCAGGCAAAAAACACACTAACACTTCAGTCCAGAATTACTCAGGCACATGAATTATACACAACACTGAGTAAATCAAGCATCTTTAAATTTCTCCTACCAAATCATGCCTTGATTGAAGATCAAGCCCAGAACATTCCCACTGATATCAAATTCTCCATAGGAGGGCTGGTGAAAAAATAGCTTTTGTTCAATGATATATCCCAGGCAATTATCTCAAATTACCATTTCTTCTGTGATGGTGATGCTCTATTATTAATAGATTATGTGTAGAATAATTAGTTTACACTCACAAACCCATATTCCAGGTCCCAGCACCAACAGTAGTTAAAGAATCTGACAAACACAGCGCGGAGAAAATCCCCAATCAGTATAGTAAAATACGTGGTCAAGGTATCAGAGATGGTGAGCCGTACAAACTCCTGTGAGAAAGTGGAAATGCACAACACATCAATGCAGTTACATTACTTGGATTTATAATAATACAATACAAGAAAAACCTGTCAGTTACTCAAGAACACGTAACTCATCCTAAATAAAATCAGAAACAATATTACAGCTACAAACACTTTGGAGTGGGAAAAAACTATACTTTTGTAGCCAAAGGAAAATACCTGAAGCTAGCTATGATGCATTAACCCACTGAGTGTCTAAAGTCCTATAGAGCTCACAAAATTGATGTAGTTTTCAAATGACAGCATTTTAATGAATGAATTTCTGATGCTGACCATTCCAAAATATAGTTTTGAAGAACAAAATGTTGGACTACTTGGCTCTCTGGATCACCCAGAAATTGTCATAAAAGGTATAACCTTGTTTTGGTTTACTAAAAGGCACTTATAACTGTCACAAAATTATTATTGTTCTTGTGGAGGTCCAATTTTAACAAAATATTCTTCCTACCTCGATTTTTAAAAGATATTCCATTATTTGTAGCAGAAATTAATTTGTGTATTCATTATTCTGACCTTTCAACTGGGGCCTACATTCTTGTCAATCACAGAAGCAGAATCCACAAGGTGTTGACCAAGGGTCAATGGCACGAAAAGTAACCACTGCCATCATCTGGTTTCTGACACAGACAGAAAACCATCACCGTGCCTTACCATCTCCAAAGCAAATTACAGAGAGTTCAACATATGCATAGATTCACCTGTAATTCTTTTTATCACTTGTTAATTGAATAATCAATAATTAAGATTCCTCTATAATCCCTGTAATTCCTCTGTGTACAAGCATTTACTCTTGGTTAATATGCACATTTTGCACATAAGTTATTCAACCAGCCTGCAGGTGAAACCCCAGTGTGGTTCTGAATTTGAGCTTAGTATTATTGTTAGTTTCCCTCGTTGCTTAAGACCACTTTCCAGGTGGTCTACCAAACCTCCTTTCTGGTGCCACGATTGCTTCTTTGATGTTCAGATCAAACCTGAAGACCTTCCTCTTCGACCATGCTCCTCTCCCCCCGGCTTGGCATCAGGCTCCACCACCGTTAAGCAGTCCGAGACACTACCCCACGTGAAGGGTGCAAACTATTGGACAGAAATTCCACTTGGGTCTAGATTTACTCTATTAATGGAACATTTCAGCACAGCCACTTTCACAGAGGGTCATGTCTTGGAGCTCTTCACAGGAATGGGATTGGACACTGAGAAAGGGAGAGGACAGAGGAGCAGTGACGATAAGCGTGTTTGAACAGATAGGATTTGAGGCATGTCAAAGGTAGAAATAGAGGGGGCAAAAAAGATTGAAGAAAGATGGATGAGGTCAGAGGTTATGCAACAACCTTTGGTCCGATTGTGGAGGAGAGGTGGTGGGGGGGGAATTCACCCCTGAGGCTAATGATAAATGTTCACTGCTTTTAACTACAATTTTGGTCAATACCTTAATGGTAATATAATTAGCCTGATAATTATCGCATCACACATTACATTTTTCTCTCTACGTTATCAGTGATCTTGTACACATAGGGCTGATTGCAATGAAGCAACATCACACAGGGAGTTCCAAGGAATACATTATCTAAACGTCTTACACAAGATTTCTGCCTTGTAATCTTTCCTGCATATGCATCCTTCACAATGTAACACCAGTAAAAGGTATGTTACTTAGCGAGGGTTTCCAAGGCCCTCCCTGCATTACATTGCAACCAAAAGATATAAAAGGTTTATGATAAAGAAGTCATTACAAGCATTATAGGATTGATGCTTATTCTTGTAAAGTCCTTCCACTCAATGGCTAGATTTACTCAGGAACAGGAGGAGGCCATTCAGCCCATCGAGGCACCAACAGGCCATTCAGCTATCTGTTCTTCAAGCTTATCAGTTGACTACTTGGGTAGTAATGTATAAGAGGCTATAACTAAAGGGAGGTGGGGTATTGGGATTAAACAATCCTGCCAGGATCTAATAAATTGGTGGAACAGGCTGAATGGCCTGCTGGAAGTTTGATGGGCTGAATGACACACTCTTATTCCGGTTTTCCTATGTTCTTATAAGTAAAAGTATTTGGATTCAAATTTCAGACCACTAATATCTCAGGATACAATATATAGTTTGGGACACAACATGTCATGCAACTGCCAGGATGTTGGAAGGCGAACTGGATGGACCTTGGTCTTCTTTCGCCTAGCAAATTTGTATGTTCTGATGTTCTTATAGCACTTGTTTTGTAGGATGAAGGAGATCTTGCAATGAATACTTTTCAATTTACAATAAATACCTGCCCCACCATGGTCTCCCAGCATGGTCCCCTGGGTACATCTGCAGGATCAACTTCTAGTAGAGGCCCAGTACTTGAATTCCCCAACCAAGTGCCATTATAAAGGGTCTTTTCCCACAGGGTCATGTTGAATTTCACACCCTTTTCCTCTTCAAGCTGAAATCAAATAAACAACACCAAAAGAGACATAAAACTCCTGCAGCCTAAAGGAATCTTGGTATCATGTTGAAGATGCAATGAATCATCATTTTGCTGTGCTTGCCTTGAGATTAATTTCATCCATTAAGGCAATAATGAACGTGTAGAGGTTACCAAGGAACAGAGCAAAGATGCGACCCAGCTGCCATCGGAGTGCTATCCTTGGATGGTAGTTTTCCAAAGAACTAATGACATCAAATAATGTTGGACAGAACATACCAAGTAGGGACATGACCATATTTACCTAATAAAACAAATCAGATTAATATAAGATTTTTTAAAGAGACTCATAAAAGATAATTTCATTGAGCAGAGATTCACCAATATTCAACAAAATAATCATTCCATGTGGTATATATAGCGCCTTTGACATCGGGCAGCCACTGCAAATCGTTTTACAGTGCAATACAGGAGTCCTGTAGCTCAGTGGTTAGAGCACTCGCTTTGCAAGCGAGAGACCTGAGTTCAATTCCAGGCAGGGCCAAATCTTGGGCAAGTTTCCTTACTCCACACACCTAATAATAATCCCTCCAAAACCAAAAACAATAATAAATTGGTCATTTTCAATCTACGACTGTTTGTGGGGCATTGCTGTGCGCAATTGGCTGCCGCGTTCGTCCCACAAATATACAGCCAATTCACTTTACAGCGTGTTCTGTGAAGCGCTTTGGGACGTCCTCCCGACGTGAAAAGCGCTATATCAAATGCAAGGATTATTATTAATGCTGGTGTCTAATTTGCAGCAATAATAATAATAATAATCCTTGTATTTGATATAGTGCCTTATTACGTCATTGAGTACTTTTTAATGCAGTTCCCACAACTACAGGAAATCTGCTCTGGAAGTAGCTCACATTGGAGCAGAATTCTTACAGCGTGACATACTGGAAGGCTCATTTAAGACTCAGATTTGTTATTCAGGAATCATGTTAAGAAATATCGCAAATTAGAGCCCATTGTGTTATTTTCACGTTTACATCAAAAATGGCAAATTAAACCAAAAGAACATTCTGCACACATTTACTGTGTTAGCAGCCTTGTTTACACCAGATGTATTTTGTTAAATCAACTAAAAACAGTGTTCACAAATTGAATCCTAAAGAAATGTAATCATAAAGATATATAACGTCTGGCATATATTTGTTCCAATTAACTGAGAACAGCAGTACTATATTCATGCAATTTTATCTGGTTGATTGTCTCTTTAATCTGACATATTATTCTATTTTACTGTACATTAAACTGCGTTGAATGGGGCATATCATGTGTGTCTACCTTAACATAGTGTGTCAAACATTCAACACCTTGCAAGTGAACAACTGGCATTTGTGCAATCTCTACACAGTGAATAATAAGCATTGAGCCAAGTCTTATTTGAAGGAAAATCTAAATTTGCTTCATTCAAGTCTAATCAGATCTACATATAATAAATATTATTTACATTTATATAGTACCTTTCACATCAGAAGGACAGCTAACGCTGATTTCTATATATTCTCTGCACGTACAATTCTAATCAGATTTCTACCTTCCTCGTTAATGACTATCATACTAAACATTAATAATCTTTCATATATTTAGAACATCCCATAACAGTGTCCTTGAGGATTTTTTCAGTGACATTTATGCATTGAATCTAGCAAGTCATATGTGCATTCTGTTTCTTCAATGCCCTTATATGCTGCAGGCACCGTACTGTTTACCCATATTTCCTTGATAGTCTTGGTTTGTTTTTCACAATTACTATATTTCGCTGATGATACAGTTAAGCACTCCCAGCCCCCTGCCTCCACATAATCTTTCCAGTGTAGGGAGAGAATGAAACCCTGGTGGAGTTTATTATTTCCCTCTTCTGGATAGATTTCCTCACTGCACTTCCCCATTGGTCTCAATGAGATCAATGATGTTGCTTTCTTTGACAACCAGCTGGCGAAGAAATGAGAAAGTGAATTACAGGCAGTTAGCTGTTTCATTTGATAAATCGCTGAATGTTAGATAACTCCTTAATTTCCATATATCCAGTAAAGAAAATCCTGCTCACATCTGCCACAAGCATCCAACATTTGGCTGTTTATTTTATAGCTAGATTCCACTAGCAAGTCAGGTTATAGTTCATAAATCCAAACGAACAGTTCATCGACTAGATTGGAAAATTAATTAGCAAATGTCACTCTTCATTGATTTCAACCCAAATGGGGAATCTCCTGTCCTTGCTCTTCGTGTTTACTTATTTAAATCAATGGTAGAGAAACCCTTGTTAATCAATCAGTCAATACACTGCAAAGGTATACTGTATTAATAACCTTATTTTGTGTGTTTGTGGGACAGGAGGAAGGAGTCTAACACTATTGACAAAGTACTTCCCTCAGTCTAACAATACATTATCAGCCATCTTATTTGCCTTTATCATAATGCTTTTTTCACTCTATTTGGTTTCACCAGTGGTTGAACCTGGCAACCCTGTTCTACACATACGTCTTTTCCCATTAGTGGTTGGACACTGCTTTATTTGTGAAAAAGTTCAAACAGAAGCAGCCACTGTAGAAACAGAAAATAGTATCACACATACAAAGCACGATTAATACTCCAAATTTTAAATGTTTCCGCTCTTCTAAAATTATTATTCTTCACTATCACAAGGTATTAACAGACTGTGATACATTCTATGGAGCCAAAGGCTCTCTGGTATATTGTTCTTGTGACCATTCTTCATGTGCGAGCTTAGCCAGTGAGAATAAACAGGGTATTTATCATGATACGCCTTACAGCTGAGCACAATATTGTCGTCACTTGATATCTGCATACACATTGTTTCCAGCAGAGGTCACTAGATAATGCCCAAGAGAGGGAATACTGATTGATTTTTTTCCCCCTAGGAATACTAAAGCTAAATGAAGCACAACTACTATCTCCCTGGCTACAACAAGCTTAACACAGAGCTGGATTCCAACTTTGAACAAAGTCAACAAGGTCTTGAGCAACAGTAAGTTACCTTGTTTGAAAAACAATAGGACCAGTAGAGCTAAACTCAAATTGTGTCAAACATGTTTTTCCACTAATCAATCTAAAACAGTTTGTTTGTGTTCAACTGCTTGCAGTTCATCCAGAACAAATTCAAACAAATAAAGCAATTAACATGGATTGCTTTTCCATGATTACCTTTGGGATTCAGGAAGTAACTGCACATCTTTCCCCAGGAGATAGAGTGGGAGGGATGAGACCCATGATATTTCACATGGTTTGTGTAAGGACTGAGCTTGGTAAACTACATTGCCTTTTCTTATACCACACTTTCTTGTGTGAATAGAAATAAACTATGTGACTTGGAATCAACAACAAATTGCATATATATGCAGCTTTCACATCAGGAAAACATCCCACGGCATTGGACAGTCAAGGGTTCGCTCCCCAGTTGAGAGTTGGATTCAAGAGGGGTGGTGGGCAAGGAAGATAGGGTCACAGTCAAAGAGGAAGGTCTTGTGATGGACCTTGAAGGAGGTAAAGGAAGGGGCGAAGCGAAGGAACTCCAAGATGGAGTTCCAGAGGGTGGGGGCAGAAAGACTGAAGGCCATACTGCCAATGGTGGGGGCAGACAGTGTGGGGGATGTGAAGCAGGCCAGTGCCCCCAAACGAAGGGATTGGGTGGGTTGGTAAGGTTTTAGCAGAAACTGTACTAAATTTTATGCTCTATACACTAACTTCATTTCTTTCCCACCATCCATGGTCCTCCAGTCCTTGCAATGCAAACTTCTGAGACCTTCTTACAACAAAGTAAATAAGATAACCACTTCCAGCCAGGCAGCAGAGCACCAAGAAGTTGGCAAGAACTCGTAAGAATCTGGTCAAATGAATGTTTTCTTCTTTCCGATTCTCCTGTTCTTCCAGAATGGATTCCTGTGTTCCAATTAAAAACAAGCATTGTCAGGTTTATTCAAAAGCACTGGTCAGCCAGGTGTCTGACATACATAAAAATCCATCACCATACTTAAGAGTTTCCAAAACAGACTGAGACTTTCACATACATATGCCACCTACACAAGGAAATGTGCATATGTCTGGAATACGATGCACACTATTTCATTGCTGGTGACACAACCTGCTAAACAGATTTCAAAGTATTAGATGCAGGTTGGTGAAAGCCAAGGCTTAGAGACTCCAGAGTTGGATACTGCTGAAATCTAAGGTAAAATTGCAAAGCTTCTCATTGAGAGCACTGTCTTGCACACTTCCTGCTGTTTGTCCAACAGCGACCAACCTACCCTTCAGGGCTTTGGCTTACAGGGCTAAAAAGAGCCAAGTGAGAAGAATCCCTGCCTCCAGCACAAATAATCTACAAATATGAATCTCAGAAAGATTTGTCACTTTGGCTGAATCTAGGCCAGACTATGTATTTAAGTTCAGTGATTATTGTAGAACACAGAATGTGCACATGACAGTTTGTGAAAAAGTGTATCCCAAATAAACAGGAACCTCAGTGTGCTGGATATCCTGCATACGTCAAGTATCACACAATGCAATTAAAGAACCTGAGTTATCCCACCCTAAATGGCACCTGGCATTTTTAAAAATATTTTATAATATTTACAAAGAAAACCCACAAGGAATGCTTCATTTATTATCAAGTCCAATCTCTTCAAAGACCTGATTTCTTGTTACTTCTACCTTAAAGCTGGTAGTGATGGATGCAAACTTGTTGTCTGCAGTCTCTGTGTTCCCAATGAGAAAGTCCCAGCTTGTAAAAATCTTCCAGCTGAAGTTAAAGCTTGCATCATCTCCACCACCCTCCTCATTTGCATTCCTTGCCATTCTGAGAAATACACAAGGAGCTTGATTTTAATACATTTCTATGATGCCGAAAAAACAATAGTTGTACCAATACATTTTGTAGCATATTCAGAGAGGCCACTGTATAGTCACTGGAGGTTTGAGATAACAAGATAGCAAGAATGAACTTTGTAAACAAAACCGAAATGTCTTCCTTAGAAAGAGCAAGACAACTTTCTGCACTTGGGCGTAATATCACAAGAGAGGTTCAGATGAAGAAAGTCCTTTGGCCCATTTGATTTCTCCGTTCCAGAATACCCATCCTAATCTTCTCATTACAGATCAAGCTGTCCAGCGTCTTGGCCTCAACCACTCTTCATGATAACCTGTCCCATTTACTAATTATCCTCTGGGTGAAGAAATATGTCCCAATGGCTGATCTGAAATTACGTTTGCCCTATTGTTTCGCTGACTAGTAAAACTGAACATTTGCCCTATTGTTTTGTTTTGCTGATTTGGAATACCTGAAAGCATTATTCTGGGTATACATTCCCAATCCTATTTAAAATCCTATATACCATACCTGTATAAGCTCCCCTCTGTGATGTTTTCCTTCATGACTGCACAGCCTCAGCATGTCTAACTGATGTTCAAAGCTCATTCCTCTAAGACTGGGGATCATCCTCTAACACTAGGGATCAGTTCTCTTCACGGAACCAAAGTTATTATTTCAGGCAATAGGGCAAATTATTCACAAATTATAATAATAATAATAATCCTTGCATTTGATAAATTTTATTGCGTTTTTTTATTTATGAAAATAAAGCAAATGTTAGTGCACACAAAGAATATTTCCTCTCTAAGCAAGCACCAAATTTCCAGCACCAGGTTCTCCCAGGGCAGTTACAGCACAAGCAGATGCAGAGTAAAGTTGTTTCTACCCTGACCTCATAACGTGCTTTTTGCTTATCCCCTTAAACAATGCCCAGAAAGGAAATATCTCAGAGGGTGCCTTGAAGAGATAGATAAGATTTTAAATAGGATTGAGAAAGTAAATCCAGAACATTATTCACTGAGCCAGCAAAACAAGAGGGGGCTGATTCAGGGTTGCAAAGGAAAATTCAGAACGGAAACCAGGAATTATTCCAGAGGGTAATTAACTATTAGAAATATTTCCCAGAAGGGTAGTTGAGGGCAGAACACTTGACTCATTTAAGAAATTGCTCAAGTGTAGCTCAAAGGCCTTCATCATCCAAACCAGGCATCTCTATGTTAATAATACTGCTTGCATTTGATACAGAGCCTTATCATATTATCAAGACGTCTCAAAGCGTGTCATACTGTAAAGTGTATTTTGTGGGTGAAATGGAGTAGCCAATCGCTCACAGCAATGTCCCACAAACAGCCATGGAGTGAGTGAACAATTTTATTTGGAGGATTTGTTAGCCAGACACGGTGAGAATCTCCCTTCTCTTTTCGAATAGTGCAACAAGATCTTGAACATCCAGCTGAACAGGCGGATGGGACCTCAGTTTAATGTCTCATCTGAAGGACGAGATTTCTCTGAGGTAGACTTCCCATTTCACCCTAACCTATGCCAATTAGAGGCCAATTATGTCAATTCTGAGTTGATGGTCATACTCTTTGCAATTGTATTGAATCTTCCATAAGGCATTTTTTTTCACAAAGACCCCTAATAGCAAGTAGAGACATCAAATTATGTTCCTATTAATCTGTGCCGAATTCAAACCAAATTCTGAGATATGATAGAATTGTTTCCCTTGGAGATGAGACGATTGAGAATGGACATGATAAAGGGTTTAAAAATTATGAAGGGGTTTGATAATGAGAATATGAAAAGACCATTTCACTTATTCAGTGCATAACAAGGGGATATAAATATAAGATTGGCATGAGCCAATCTGAAAGAGAGTTCAGGAGGAACGTCTGCACACAGAGGGTGATGAAAATATGGAACTCACTGCCAAGCAGTGCATTTAAAAGGAAACTCAATATGTGAAGGAGAAAGGAATAAAGTGATCTGGAGAGTGGCCAGAAACAGGGGGATTAGGATGGGAAAAGCCCAAGTGAACTGTAAGTATCAGAACAGACTAGTTGGGTCAAATGGCCTGGTTGCATAACACAACATTATATAATTATACATAATATGAGTGACACTGTGCGATCACAGTTATTTTTTAAAGAATTAATTCCTTGAAAGTTTCAACTACACATCAAGTACATAATCATAATGTAATACTGTGGCAATTTTCATGAATAAAAATTCTAATAGTTTTCCTTCAAAAAACAGTCACTACACTTGCCAGTAATTATTTGTCAAGCGTTTATGAAAGAGTGATGATTTTTTTTCATAAAAAATACATTTTTAAATGTTGTGCGAGTCTTTCAATATGCAATGTTGGCAATGAGGAACCAAGCTCACTGTAAGCCTTCAGACCCTGGAAAAATGTGTTACAGGAAATAATATTTTTGAATTATTTGCAATCTACTTCTGATTGCAAAAGCTAAGAATGCTCCATTGTAACACAGTAGTTGAAATAACGTGGCATCACATGGAATAATATGTACAACATTATCAGGTTTATTTCCCTTTCACCTATATCACCAGCTACTCAGTCCATCCACCACGATACAATAAAATATTTACAAAGAATCTCTTTAAGACAAACGCAACCTTGTGTTTCTGGTGACATTGATTAAACCACTTGATACTTTGTTCCTAGTGCTTACAGAATGACCAAATCATTTAATTGAATCATAGCCTTTGACTCACAGGGAGCTATCTGCTTCCCTAAATTATTTGATAGGGAAAAGGCCCATGCCCTTTGAGATCTAAGTTCATGAAACTGCAAACCCGGTGGAGAGGATTAAGAGCTGTCTATGGGGTGTCATGGAATAGGGTACATAATTTTAATCAAAGTGCCCCTGTGATATCTTAAGTACAGAGCCATATCAAATAAAGTGCATCTAATGTCATATCATGTCAAAAGCACATCTCGTCATCATACAGTTGTGTAAAGGATAGATCGGAACATATTTTTACACTGTGTCTATTGGTTCTTGAAATGCAGTGAAATGTGATTTTAGGGTTAATTGCTCTTCGCCATCAATTGCATGCAATGATTAATTTTGCTTGGGGCAAATCCATGACTCAAATTCAGTGCGTCAGCTCTGAAGGTTGTGGATTGAAGTTCCACATCAGGACTCGAAATGACTAGGCTGACACTCCAATGCAGTGCTGGGGGTCTGTTGCATTGTCAGAGGTGCTGTCCTTCAAATCAGACGTTATTTTAAGTTCCTTTCTGCCTATTTAGGTGGGCATTAAAGATTCTAGTGCTTAATTCAAAAAGAGAATGCCAATAATCCCCCAAATAAATAGGCTATTACTTATTCCGTGGCTTTTTGTGGAACATTGCTGTGTACAAACCTCCTCCCTGGCTGAAGTATCCTCCCACAAAATGCAGTCAAACCATTTTATAATATATCCAGCCTCCAACACTATTACCAATAGTCAGTTTTAACCATTAATTGTGGACTTCCACAAATTGACCATCAGTACCTAATTACCCAAACTGAGTTAATGTAACAGTGAGTGTTGATAACATCACTAAAGATGGGTGGTTGGCAATGTTGAACTGAGCTCACTATAAACCTTGAGACCCTTGGAAAATGTATTACAAGATATATGTTCATTTTTTATTCCTGATAATAAAAGCTAGGAATGCTCTATTGTAATGCAGTAGCTGTGGCATCACTGGGTATAATATGTACAATATTATCAGGTTTATTTCCCTTTCACCTACATCATCACCCTGCTCAGTACATTCACCATGCTACAATAACATGTTTACAAATAATCTCTTTGAGACAAATCCAACCTTGTGTTTCTGGTGATGTCAATAAACTACTTGAACTTTGCTCACGATGTTTATGGAATGAGCTAAATCATTTAATTGAACTTATGTGTTAAGAATTGTGACGTGTGATGTGTTAATTAACAACAATGATGATTAGCATAACAATGTTAGGTGCGGTCAACAAATCTCGTCGATGGAAAGACTGGCCGAGATTGTGAATCCTTTCCAAAACAAACTTGTGGTGCAAACTAGTCATGGTATAAAACTAAGGCTACATTTTTTTTTGTTTTAAATAAACATGCAAAACAGCTGTCATGGTAGAAGTAGGGAGCATCTCCAAGGTTCATACTAATCCTGCCAACAAACATTGCCAGCACAAAATTAATTCCACGTCTTTGAAACAATGTCTGAGGCAATAGATCAAGAAATTGATGGAATATGCATTAAGGAACTCGGAGTTGTTCTTTAATGAACATTTGCTGATTCTGTCCCCAAACTCTGTCACTCTGATCGGGCCTGAAGCCAGCCCATGGCAGCTTTCAGACTACTGTGGCTGGCTTCCACTCAACAACAACAATTTGCAGTTTATAGTGCCCTTCACACAGGTAGTGCTTCAGAGCGCTTGACAAAAGAGTTATGTCACCTTCCTGCAAATCAGCACTCTAAGGCTTCCAATCAGCACTTCATGATCTATACGCATGTATTTGCCAGTTTTCAGTGCAAGTTTAAAAATCCCATGACATTATTCAAAAAGAGAAAGAAAGTCCGAGGACAACAATCCTCCAGATAAATTGATCCATCCCACCACTGAATGTGGGACCTTGATGTAACCATATTTGCCTACAAAAACAGCCAAACATTTAATAGTAATTTCCCAAGACAGTTAGTTAATAGTAATTCTCTGTGGAGATTTCAGTGTGATACAAAACTGCAAGTACTCTTGATTATCTGACTATTACCTAACCTTGATTATCTATACAGTAAATTAATCATGCTGAAAGTCAGGCAAAATCAGCATGAATTAGAGAGGTGAGCTGAGAGAGAGATCTGAGTCAGAGAGAACAAAGAGAGAGACAGAGAGAGTTGAGTTAGAGAGAGAGAGAGAGAGAAAAATGAGCAGATAGAGTTGAGTCAGAAGTGAACAGAGACAGAGAGCTCAGACAAAAAAATGAGCAGAGAGAGATGAGTCAGAGAGCTGAGCAGAGTGAGCTGAATCAGGGAAGAGACAAGCCAAATTTCCAGTTGTTTTAGCTTGACTCATTTGTATCACTTTTGTCTCTTGGTCAAAAGGCTCCGTGTTCAAGCCCTGTCATAGTCACAGTCATAGTCCAAACAGACTGTGCTGATTCTCAATCCGCAATATCGATGTATTGAGTAATTCCTTTATTCTCATTTTACAACATTTTACCATTAACCCTCCCCTTTGTAACTGAGATTTGAGCTTATCAGTTGTTTAGCTATAGAAATTAATGTTACTTTGGGGCTCTAAATAAGTACTAATTGAGATGAGACAAAAGTATAAGCAGTAAAACATCGATCCAGGCAGCTCATTATCAGCTCACCAGACATAGTCTTTTGTCACCAATTATGAGAAAGGACGTAGCAGTCTTCACAGTCCAAGTGATAACACAGCAGTAGGAAGCAATCGACAGGGAAGGTTTTGGACTTATAGCTAATATTCAGATTTTTTACAATTCACCTTTGGAAAACAGTAAACTGCTCTTGTAAACGTCCATTAGAAAAACTACTGTTCGGCTCCAAAATACAGACATCACACTTCACAGTAAATCCCTTTGAGAAGTCTTCCCGGTATGAAAGATGCTATTGTATTTCAAATGCAACAATTTATTATTTATCTTATGTTATTGTGCATCCACAGAAAGGAAGAAATCAACTCAAGTAAGAAAAATGTAAGGGTTGGAAGATGTCTGAGTTTGGTGTTTAATGTTGCACTGAGCGGTTTAATTCAATTTGACAATAAGAAAATTAATACAGAATTTAAACAAAGAAATGGGACTTACGTTCTAATCACCACCATGTAGCTGTACGCTATGGTACCAACTCCCACCAGGAAGTAACCCAAAGGCAGTCTATACTTCAGCCATCCGAGCGTCCGCTGGTTATTGTAATAACCATAGAAAAGGACAGAATGTTGTGCATAGCCCTAGCAAAATCAAACCAAGAATTATTACACTTCACACAAAAACAAGAGGGAAATGAGATTGTAAATACAATATGCATTTCCAACAACAACAAAATTACATATGTATCGCGCATTTCACGTCGGGAGGACGTCCCAAGGCGCTGGACAATCAGTGTTTCGGACCCAAGCTGGAGAGTCAGGATCGGGGAGGGTGGATAGACATGGTCGAAGAGGAGGGTCTTGAGATGGGTCTTGAAGTAGGCAAGGGAGGGGGCGAAGTGGAGGGACTGCGGGATGGAGTTTCAGAGGGTAGGAGAAGAGTGGCATAAGGTACACCCACCGATGGTGGGGCGGGCGAGGCTGGGCACATGAAGCAGGTGAGCGGAGGGAACAGGCAAGTTGGTGGGGGGTTAGGAGGTCACAGAAGTAGGGGGGGGCAAGGTTGAGTGGGGGTTAGAAGCCAGTGGAGTCGGGCGAGGTGATGGGGTCACAGAGCCTGGTGCGGGAGAGGACATGGGCTACACGGTTCTGGATAATCTGCATCCTGTGGTGGGAGAAATTGGGGAGGCCGACAAGTAGGGAGTTTGCATAGTCAAGCCTGGATGTTATGAATGCGTGTTTGAGGGTTTTGGCAGCCTGCGGTGTGAGACAATGACAGCGACGGCGTGGTTGTGGAGGTGGGGGAAGGCAGAGTGGGTCATGGCACATATGTGGGGTAGAAAGGATAGTTGAGGGTCAAACAAGATACCAAGGTTCCAGACTGGCTTAGTAAGGGGGAGTGTGCATCCTTGGATGGTGATGCTGACAGTGCCTGATGTGAAGGGATGGGAGCCAATCAGGAGGGCTTCAGTCTTGCTGATGTTCAACTGTAGAAAGTTAGCTCTTACCCAGGATTTAATGTCTGACAAACATTCTGTCAGGACAGCAGTGGTCCTGGAGTCAAGGGTGGAGGCAGAGAGATAGAGTTGGGTGTCATCCGCACACATGCGGAAATTGACTACCCCTACCTCTGCGACCTCCTAACCCCCTAACATCCTGCTCACTCGCTCCGCTTAGCGGACTCCGGCCTGGTTCACGTCCCGTGCCTCGCTCGCCCCTGTATTTGCGGGCAGGCTTTCTGCCACTCTGTCCCTACCCTGTGGAAATCCATCCCGCAGTCCCTTGCCACCTTCAAGACCCATCTCAATACCCTCCTCTTTCACCGTGCTTTCGATCTCCCTGCTTCTCCACCCGCTCTCCACCCTCCCCAACCCCGATCTCCAGCTCGGTTCCCTAACTCTGTCTGTCCAGCACCTTGGGACGTCCTCCTGACGTGAAAGGCGCTATACAAATGTAATTTTTATATTATTCTTATTATTGACCCTATGTCTGCAGATGATGTCACCAAGAGGGAGTATATAGTTATTGAAGATGAGGAGAATAAGTATAGAGCTTGAGGAATGCCGCACGAGACGGTGCGGGGACTAGATTCCACAATGCAAAATGTGTTAAAACAAAACGTAAATGCCCAATTGTGATTGTGATGGTGGAGACAAATAATTGGAGATGGCTCTTTAATGCAGTAATATTACTGATGACCAGTAAAAGCATCTCACAACAGATCAGTACATCAACCAACCCGAGATACCTCGGCTCTGAGACAATCTCAGATCAGAGCCAAATTCTTGTGAAGTGTAAGAAATCCCATGTTGCAAAATGATTTGTAACTAGTTAAACCCAAACATCTCAAAAGTCAATCTTCTGGAATACCGCTCTGACAAAGGGTCCAAAACTGTAGTGCTGATACGTTGGGAGAGCTGGAATTCTTTTACAACTTTAAATGGGAATTGTTGTACTTCGGTAAATTGTGCGACTGTTGTAAAGGAACACAAGGATGGTTTAAAAAAAACATTTAATTTCCCAAAATAAGCATAGCTGGTGATTGAAGCCTAGCAATCTTGACACGGAGTGGGTTATGCTGCAAGGAAACCTGAACAACTCTTTGCAGGCATTTTCCTGATGTCATTGACTGGTTCACTTAAGAAACATTAAGTTCCAGGTACTGGGCATTTTCTCCTTTACCCAAAGCGTAATTAATCTTTAATCAGAGGGTAATTACTGACGAGTACAAATTGCCAGGAAAGGTTACTGGACACCACAATCATTTAAAAAAACAGCTTGATGATGTGATGAAAGAGTCGATGGATGAGATAAGATACGCCAAAGGGCTTTCTTTATCTGAAACATCTTGTGATTTTGTAATCTACGTATGTTATATTCTGCGCTATAATGTGCCCATACTGAAGAACAGCAAAACAATTTTCTCCTTCTCCCATCCCCACTCAAATTCCCAATGAAAAATACAAGTGCAGTATCAGAAAATGTGAAATAATTGTGCTTCTCCATCACATCTCAATTAAAAATCTTAGCATAATCTCTTATTTTGAAACCGATTCACTTACATGTAGTGAGCTCTGTGGTAACAGCACTATTTATTTTGTTTGTGCATTATGATGAATGAAACGTATCATTTAAACATTGCAAATAGAAAAGCAATCTCCACATACCTAATAACATTTACTGATAAAGAAGTCAATATTCACTCATTACACCACAAGGACAGTAACTCATACCTGACAACTAAATGATCACTACATAAAAGACAAAATACTGCAGATGCTGAAAATCTGAAATAAAAACAGAACTCGCTGGGAACACTCAGCATCTATGCAGAGAGGAAGGTGAGTTAATGTTTCAGGTCGATGAACTTTCGTCAGAACTCACAAAAGGTCATCAACCTGAAGTGTTAAACTCACTTAACTCCCTCCATAAATGCTGTCTGACCCTGCTGAATGTTCCCAGCAATCTCTGTTTTTATTAATGATCACTACAAATTTGCTTTTGCAATCACAAATTATATTTCTTTAATATTACTATGTTGTAACAATTACAAATACCAATATGTCTAAAAGTAATAAAAGTGCAATATGAAGGTCTCAGAGACTGACGACTGTGGATAACTCTTAACAGACCATTTATCAACAGTCCACTTTTTTGAACACAGCTCTTATGTCAATTTTAAAGCAAGCTCTTCTGCATCTCTGGATAGAATGAAAAAGAATAAAAGTGAAGGATATGGATGTCTCATTCCACATTGCTGTGGTAGAACAAAGTATTCTCCATGGATTTGTTAATTGTGGTTTTCTGTGAGGTCACTCACATCATTCGAAGGTCCTCTGGCACTCTAGGCATGATTTCTTCTGCCAAATTAGGTTGCAGTGGAACATAAACTTTGATATTTGCCACAGATAGTTGGAAATTCAATTATTCATTATTTCTATGTTGTGTGCATCCAGCTCGTTCTCACAATGTCTCACCAGTAGGATGCTGCTCAAAAGCATTCCTTGCCAACATTTTGATGCAAATGAGAGAATTTAAGGTGCAACATTTTGTTATTGTGATGCTGAAGTTGTCAACCTTTCCTTACTGCTAAGTTTCTCCTAACCAAAGTTGGATGAGGACATTTCTTTCCCTTTGCATTCGTCATTTACCACAGATTCCAGAGGTTTGAGCAAAAGGTGAGAGATACACACCTTCTTGTAACTTTGACACAATTCCTATGAATTCACATAATTTAGGTTTTGTTTTCTGTGAGGGTTGCACATTGTAAGGTAGAATCTCTAGATAGTCAAAGCAGGGCATCTGATGTTTCTGCTTGACTTTAATATTCCAGTGAAGAGAAGTTCGAGAGAAAGTAGGTTTCTCAGTACAACAGCATGGCTGCAGTATTCAATTACGATAAGCAAGAGTTCCCAGGAGACTAATTCAAATAGATTTATCTTGCCTAAGCAGAACTTCAGAGGGTTGGTCTATAATTCATGTAAGATTTTCTATTTACAAATCCTGTTGTGGAATCTCACATATTAGCCCCCCATCACTTTATCTCACTATCACCAAAAGGCTTAGTAATCCAAGTAACATTGTGGTATTTTTTTTAAAAAAAGATATGCATCCTTATTAACAGTCCTATTTATAAGATAAATTAAACTTACTCCAAAATCCCACAATGTAGAAACATCCATGGCTGTGCCTTGATCGCTCCTGGGGACAGTTTTTCTAGGCATGCTGCCATATACCTTTCCCATCAGGGCCTAAAGTCAAGATACAAAAATGCTGAAAAGTTGTATTCCAGTAAATGCAGAGTTAAGAAAGTAAATTTTATATGGATACTAATGGTTATTTATTTCTCCACCTTCAGCAGATGACAATTAAGAATCTGGTGATCCTTTCTGTCCTTTGAAGGAAAAATCAACATTTCTCTTACCAGCTTGTGGTATACAGTGAGGTCTGATCCAGAGAGTTAAAACAAGGTTAAAGAAGCCAAAGGATTTTCAGGCCTAAAATAAATGATACAATCAGTATCTCTAGGCTCATTCACTGTAAACCCAGTTTATTTTCGCTTGAAATGTAACAAAGCAAAGTTATGCCTGTTTGGCCTGATTTGGCCTAAAAATGGTTTGGTACTTTAATGGGAAGAAAGTGAATGTTAAATACTACAAGAATGTGATCAAAATCCTGAAGGACCTTCGGTCTTGTGATCTTTGACATCGTGAGACACCGGTTGAAATGACAGTGGCCAAGATCTAAGAGTGGGTGTATAGTTCAAAGAACCCAGGCGTGAAGAAAGTTCAGACAGGCTAGGGATTCATAAATATTGCACAACATGAATTTCCATCCATCTCACCCTTTCTTATATCAAACAACTCAAAAGAAAAATGTCTGATAGGAGCACACTGTATTTCACAATAATAAAGCAATTGCAGTGATGTTTTTCGCACATTTTCTCCATTCAACATTTTATTCATTTTTAACATTGAGCTACATGTTTCCAAACTCAAAGTCAGCAAACAGCAAGCACTCTTCTCCAGACCACTACCTGTGTTGAGCAGTTCTCACTTGAAGCGTGTACATTTTAAATCATCCTCCAATGTTTTTAACACCAGAATGAAACCCCAGAATGTCAACTCCAGTGGACATGACACAATGCAATGTGTAGGGAATTAAGGGATATCAATCCAGATACTGTCGTTACATGGGAAGCAATTATCATACCAATAATAATATGAGTTTCACAAACATAATGTAATGTGCAAACATGATGGTATAATAATGCAAAAAGCTATGTTTATCAGGGGTCTTTTTCATAATTGACATTTTGCTCAGATCCACTTCCCCATTGACCCAGCCAATAAAGGCACTGCACAGTGTACAATTCAGTTTTACAGACTCAAAAGTCCCTGTTAGCGAATCTCTTTGAGACATCCTCTAGATGTAAAAAGCTGCTATAGAAATGCTTTAGAAATGTAAATGATATTGTGCTGCATTGCAGCCAGTGTAGCAGTAGGCGTGCTACAACCATGGAAAAAATGTCAACCAGGTTCGACATTGCTGTCCACTGACCCAAGTTGAAAAGTGCGTACTTGTGGTCATTGACTGAGGATTGACTTGGACTCAGCTGTGATTCCCTAAATGAGAGCAGTTTTTACCAAAACTCTCCTCACAAATCTCACTTAACAAACTTAGTAAGGTTTTAGAAAGAGAGAGAGAATAAAATATCTTTCAATAAAGAAACTTACCTCAGGGACCATAACCAAGCCAAAGGTTAGTCCAAACAGAACCATATTTACCCCATACATCCATCTTAAGAATATGAAATAAGAGGCGACTGAAGAACCAAAGTGACCTGGTAAAGCAAAAGCATCCATGCCGCAAAATATTAAGTACATGTGGACAATGAAATACTACAGCACACAGATTACAACTAATGTAGGGATGTCAAATCACAATGGTGAACGAATGTTCGGCACCACAGTGATGGGTGGGAAATATTCCAATATTCACAAAGTCTTCTCTAATATTCATGTCAACAATGTGCACCACCCTCCAGGTTGAATGTCTGAATCATTTATAATATTTTAGTTGAAGAGGTTTATGGAGAATATTCTATTGTTAAATAGGCTTCATGCTGCTAAAATAAATTATTGTTTTAATGTGTATATTTTGGTGAGTGTTTGGGATGATTGGTATTTTAGGTGGTGGTAAGCTCCCCCACCCCACATACCTTGTTTCTGTTCAGTGGCTGGATTAAATACACTCAGCTCAGATAAAACTACCTTCTCTCTGCCCCATCAGAGTTGACTTGAGACCTGTAAATTGACCATTTTTGCACAAGGAGTACTTCTCAAACCATAACATATGTTTCCTTCGCTCAGTGGCCACTGGCTAGTTATATGCCTCCCACCTTACCCTCTCCACTAACTGAAGTCGGGCTTTCAGACCTACCTCTTTAACCCCGCCTTCAGTCATTTTCAACTCCCCATCATCCCCAACCCTGTTGTTTTCCATCCCCAACTCGGATACTAAGCCAGGACTGTTAAGCAACTTGGGAAGTCTTCCCAGAATGAAGGCCTCTACATAAATGTCAATTTGTATTGTATTGTACAGCTAGCTACTCAACTGTGAAGTTGGGTGTAGACACTCTACTGGAGGGGAGGGGTGGGGGAGGGAGGGCATAATGACATTGCCCTGTAATTATATAAAACTAGCCATTTCAGATCCTGCAAGCTATCTTGAAAAGATTATATGATATTATTAGTTCCACCTACTTTCAATCTCCTTTATTTTCATCTCCCATGGAATACATGCAGTTTTGAAATTTTCAAAATCACGTTGAAATTTCATCCATTTCTGAAATTGAAAGCACAAAATAAATACCCAGCTTGTCACAAGAACAGGAACCTATTGAGACTGCTCCCCCACAAGTCTATAGCAATTTTTTAATTCAATTTCCCTGCCTTTTCTTCATTTCCCTTGATTACTTTACTTAGCCAATATGTACCTCTCTTTTCAATATCTATCAACACTGCAGCCTCCCTAAACTATATCCTCATGATTCTTATCACTAGTATATTTTTACTTTGCTTTATCCTGCCCTTTGTTTCAGGTAGATAAATGGTTTCCTGGGTGTCCACTAATACAGCTCATGAATTAATTCACAAGACCTAAAGAATATGATTGGTTCGGTACACTCTGGGTAAAGAAATGTTTCCTAGTGTATGTCCTGAAATTGCCCTTTGCAACTCTAAATGTGTGTCCTCTAGTAAAATTACTAGGAGGCGTGTGAGATTACAAGAGCATTTCAGATAAAAACCCTTTGACCTACTTGATCTTACCTTCCCAGAATGCAAACCCAAATACTCCCCAGTGCAGCATGAAGCTGTTCCTTAAATGAATTGTGTGTCCTCATATTCTTGAACTTGTGACCGCTTGTACTATTTAGCATCTTATATATTTTGATAAGGTGATTTCTGAGATGTCTCTTTTCAAGGGGGAATATCCCTATCTTATCCAGTGATTCCTCATAGCTCAAGCCTCTTGGGGTTTCCCCCTTGATTTCCACTCTGTAAGGAAGCATTGAGCCTTCTCTTGTTGATTCTGGAAATAGCGCAGGTAAGATCAGAAATGTGGGGAATCACAAACAGATCGTCAACCCTAACAACAACAACAAATTACATTTGTACACCTCCTTTCTCGTTGGGAGGAAGTCCCAAGGAGCTGACTGTCAAGGTTTGCATACTAGTCACTTGAACAGGATACCAAAAGGCAACCAGTGCCCATGGAACTGTACCCCAGTGGAAAGAATAAACACTTAAATACTTTCAGAAGAGAGGGGGAAGAAATAATATAAACTTTTCATTCCATCTAATTTTGACTAAGAATAGGTGTGCTTAAAATATTTATGTTTATCCATGGACACAGATTAATGTCACTTACTTTTGTCAACATTACTTTATAGGCATAAAACTTTCTGCCTCTTCCTTTCCCCAGTGCTCCTTCGAATTTCTCCACAAATTCTTGTGATTCTCTTAAAATTAAAACAAATAACTGTGAGTATAAATCTATAAAAACAAAAATAAAAGCTGTCTAGTACCACAAGCATGGTGACTGCCTTTACAATAATGACCAAATCAGTTTACAGACGCTATTGATCACTAAATTAGCATTCCATTTATTATGTATTTACACAGAGATTTCCATTAGTGATCAACACTATAGAGATCTAAATGTCTCAATTCAGTTTCATATTATTTTTGCAACAATTACAGTGCCAACAATTATCAGTGCCACAGCTAAAATCAGTTCAGATCAGCTAAGTCACTGGGGTAAGAGTTTTACACTTGTACAATGCACACTCTGGCATCCCCAAGCCTTGGCTCTCGCCAACCTGCACCAACTACTTTCCAGAATTAAGTATGGAGTCCCTCTGGAAAGAGTGTGCTTCCATTATTGATACATGGAAATTTCCAAATGTAGGCAGCATAAATATGTGGAATTCTCAGTCTGGTTTGGGTACAAATTGGCTGCCGCACTACACTACACTTTACAGTAATATCCTGTGAACCTCCTTGGGACGTGCTTTGTCAAATGAATTATTATTGTTATACTCTTAAGCAGGGAGATCGGTTTCTGCATATGTCAGATGCCAGGCTGACCAAAATTAAAGCTAGGATCAACAAACTCAGGACAGACCAACTTTCAAACAAATCTTCAACTTTCTGGTCTATGTGATTTAGTGGTGTATCAGGTGCACTTAGTGGTGAACTGCCTTTGCCCACTAGATCATCTAGGGCACTGGGAAATTTAAACTTAAAACTATTGATGTCTTACTGTCCTCCTCCAAAGCCAAGTGTCAATTGGCAGCACTCTTGCACTGAGTTAGAAGGTTGTGGGTGATGGCACATAATTCAGTTTCATAGTTCATAGTGTCGACTGTCACTCCAGTGCAGTGCTAGGGGAGCACTGTATTGTAGAGATGTCATTCTTCTGATAAGATTTTAAACTGAGGTCCCATCAATCTGAAAAAGAGGGTTTCTCCCTTCTGACACTTTGTGGGATATTGTATATAAATTAGCCACTGTGTTTGCCTACTTTTTATTGTGAGCTTCCTGTAGATTAGTGCAAAAATAGACTTTGAAATTGAATTTTATTTCTCAGGATTTTCCTCAGACTCCACCATTAATACTAATATTATCAATATGATATGAATTGTATTAATAATAGTAATATTATTATTTACTGTCGGTTTAAGTGCTGCTCAGCGGATATCTCTGGAATGTAATTTTTATGATTCTATGGTCAAGGGGACATTTCGGAATCTCAGTCCATTGACTGGTACATTTTCAAGGTGGTATAATAATTATTATTATGGTAAATGATTACAGTGATGTAAGGTCCTTATCTGATGGATATTTTATTAGAACCTTCCTTTTAGTGATATCATAGTAAATGGGCTTTCCGCCCATTGTGCCCATTCATTATGTCAAAGAGTGCAAATTCCACCCATCACGTCTGCTCTCAACTGCTTCTCATCAGCAGCAAGGAAGGGAGGAACTGAGAGACTCCAGTGAGTGTACAGAGATGCGTGTCTTTGTAACGCTTAGGATCGTGCTGCAACTTCAGATGAAACAGCTTCATCTTCATCGTGTGAAACCTAGATGGTGCGTCAGATCTTAATTAGAGCCAACAGTGCAGAAAAAGGTCTTAGCAATTTAATAGGAAGTGAAAGTATTTTGGTCTTGGTCAATCTATTAGCTTAATTACCATTAGACCGAAACGTTGAACAACTGATTAAATTAAGTATCATTATTAATTATGCAGCGTTTGTAAATAATTAATTGCAAGTATAAGGTTGCTAAATGTCTTCCCATTTATCACAGAACCAAGGAATTAACCTCTATTTTGCATTATTTATCCATTATTTGTATATTTGGATCTATCTAAATCAAATGGTTACCAAGGTCCTCATTAATAAACTAGAGATGTCATGCAATCAACCTGTCAGTTTATATAAGTAATTTTGTTTTCACATAATGTAAAGCATAGATCTTGGATTAAACTTTTAAAATATAACTCTTTGTATTTCTTAACTATGTCGGAATATAGGAATGTACAGGACAAAAACCAAAAATTTTCTGGTACATCTCACTGGTACAAAGTAATAAAAAAACTTTATTATTCTACCTCTTCTACTCCTCAATCAATTTAAGCGCTCCAAGACACTGAAGGATATTATGTACATGCAAATTGTTGTTGTTGCTATTTATTGGATACCTTCTTGAATTTGCTGACAAAATCTGCCTTCGTCTCTCTCTGGTCCATTCAATATATTTTTACTTCCTGTGTAACAAAATAAAGTTTTAACTTTCTGTTTCTTCCCTCTTCTGAGCTTGAGTCTGTGCCCCTTGACGATATTTGACCATGTTAAACTTATATATTATGCTTCAGTCTATTTATACAATTTAAGATCATTTACAGTCACTGCACCTCAGTTCTTAAAAAATAGGATATGAGCTTCACTTTCTAAACTGGACTGTGAAGATCATGCTGTTAATTTAAATGGCACAAAATTCAAAAATGAGTTATTTTTATCGGCTTATTCTACAAAGAGTGTTCCAATGGCTCATTGAGTATATTCAGCGAGTGGCTAAGCTACATGAAAAGAGAAGCTCCTAGGCTTGATCACTAGTTTGGACGTTAAGTGCTCTGAAATGCCATCCAGCGTGCAGGCGCTCTATAAGTGCAAGTTGCTGTTAGAGTTAGCTGACCTCAGTATGCTTAACCTTGCGCCTGAGGGTTCAGGTTAGGAGAGATTCATACTGAATTCCCTCTCCCTGCTAAAGGTATGTTTTATGTAGATGTTGAGTGAGAACAGCTCAGTACGAATTTCTCTTTTCCAATGACAGGCAGCATGCTTAAACTCACTGTTAACGCAAAGCTCACACGTGAAGCAATACTAACTTTGACAAAGTATCAGAGGCTCCGAGCATCAATTGTACAGTTCACCCTTAGAACAAATACAAATCATTTCAGGAGGAGAAAATAAGGATGCAAGCCCACCAGCCTGCAGAGTGTCTTTATGGATGTGTGTATAGTAGATTAAAAAGAACAACCATCTTAATTTCAATTCCAGAGTTTCTGATTTATTAATTGTTGCACTCAGTACACTAAGTTAAAACAAGGAGTTGCATACTACACTCATTCATTGAAAATAAAGCCATTCCAACACAATTTAGTCAGAATACTCCATCCATGGCCTTGCCCTCTCCTACCTCTCTCACCTGCTGACTCCCTACCAACTTGCCCGTTCCCTCCGTTCAGCGGGCTCCGGCCTGCACCAAGTCTCCCGCCTGACACGCCCTATCATCGGTGGCCGGGCTTTCAGCCTCTCTGCCCCCATACTCTGGAACTCCATCCCACGGTCCCTTTACCTCGCTTCCTCCCTTGTGTCCTTCAAGGCTGGTCTCAAGACCCTCCTCTTCGATCGTGCCTTCAGTAGCCCCCCCACCTCTCTGCCTTCCCTCACCCCTATCCTGCCCCTCCCCCATGCTTGGGTCCTGATCCCTGACTGTCCAGCACCTTGAGACGTCCTCCCCACGTGAAAGGCGCTCCATAAATGTAATTTTGTTGTTGTTGTTGTAATGCAACCGAATAAACACTTTGCACTTAAAAATCCCCAACAGACTAATTCAATGCTATAGTTAATTATTAAACTATCATAATTAGAGTTTCAGAATAAGAGCTTTGCTCATTGTAGGTCTAACATAGATTTCTTCACTTCTCTTTTGAACTGATAATAAGTCACTTTGGATTTCAAAGATTTTAATCAAATATTTTATTTTGTTAATTTAACTACCTATCATTACTTCTTCTACTACCTAAAATAATAAATAATAATAATAAAATCTTTGCATTTTAGTCATCAAAATATCTCAAAGCACTTCACAGGATTTACTATAAACTGTAGTCACTATATATTTGTAGACTTTCCATATCTTGCGTGCTGTTTTTCAATTTAGAAACCCAGGTAAATTATCCAAACTGCTGCACAGATTTAAATTTATGCCACTATATTATGGCTAAGAGCACAAGAAATTTCAGGCCTAAAGCCATTTCTTGTACCTTATCCACAAATCAAAAGAGATGTCGGAAGTCCCTCTACACATATGAGAGCAATAACAAAATCTTGTAACATCTGCTTTGTACAAAAAGTTAAGCTGTTGAGGTAAAAAGAGCATAAAAGGGGAGATAATATTTCTTTGAGGTCATTTCAACATCATAATAATAATAATAATAATCCTTGCATTTGGTGTAGCCCCTTTCACGTCGGGAGGGTGTCTCAAAGCATTTCACAGGATATACTGTAAAGTGATGTGACTGTATTTTTGTAGGCACAACGCGATAGCAATTTGTGCACAGCAATGTCCCACCAACAAATGTGAAGTGAATTACACACTGTATTTAGTGTGTGTTGGTGAGCGGTTGTTGGCCAGGACACAGGGAGAAAAAAATCTCTTTTTGAATAGTTCTATGGAGGTATGTTAAACATCCATATTTTTGGTGTTTTAGTTGTTGCAGAGCCAGCCTATCAAGTGACAGCGATGCAGAGCTTTAAAAAGTAATAAATAGGCAGAGAAGATGCGAAATAGGTATTAAACCAATAGACTTACTTCAGCATTGTCAATTTGCGTTTCATGCACCAAGCTTTGTTTCGTAACGTTAGAATCAGTTTCTTACTTTCTTCCACATCTTCCTTTAGCTTGGCTAGTTCCTCTGCTGTGATGACTACATCTTCTTCCAATGAATCGGATGAGCTGAAAGTCAGAAGAATATTAGTCAAAATAGCTCAGCACCTTACAGTGAAATAGGTCTGACATGAATTTGGCAAGATCACGAGAACAGAGCTCAGCTAGGCAGTTAAGTAATTTGTTTGATTAAAATGAAACAATAGCAAGCATCAAATATGTTAAGCTCCTCATAATGTAATCTAGATCTAATTAGTAGTAGTAATAATAATGCTTGCATTTGATACAGCGCCTTATCACATCATTGCGAATTCTCAAAGCGCTTCACAGAATATACTGTAAAGTGAATTGAATGTATACTTTGTGGGTGAAATGCGGCAGCCAATTGCACACAGCAATTATATATTATATTATACATTAGTAGATATTACAGGGAGTTTAGGAGGAACTTCTTCACGCAGAGATTGGTGACAATGTGGAATTCACTACCGGAAACTATGATTGAAGCAAATATCATCAATAAGAGAAACGTTGATATGATGGAGAAGGGAGTAGTAGAGGGAATAGAAGTGATGGAGGCTCATGTACAGTATAAACACCAGCACAGACGACTATGTCCGAATGGCCCGTTTCTGTGCTAAATTACTCTCTCTCTTATTTTACATAAAATCAATCATATTATTAAAGAAATGTCAGATTGTATATTCAGAAAGGTTGAGCAAATTGGCAAAAAACTTCTCTCTCCCAATAAATTTTCCCACAAGTTGATTGCAGATCCACAAACATTCAGTTTTGATAATTCATTGACTCCTAAAGAGATACCATGACAGTCGTATAATGGGAAGAGGGCAAATGGGAATCTTATTATACTGGTGCTGTGTGAATTCGTGCTGGAGAGTATGTAAAATGACAACAGCAGCACTTAGGGTGTCAACAGCATGCAGTGTGTAAGTTAACAAATGGAAAAAAATACCAAATGGCCAAATCTATTAGCAGTAGAAAATCACAAGGTATTTGCTTTCTCCTACCTCTATTTATTCTTTGAGCAGCCATACAGAATCAAGAACTTAATTGCCCCCTCAAGTGACATTTCATGTTTTAAATTGTACGTTATTTTGTGTCTTCGCTTTAGCAGCAAAAACCTCTTTTCTCTGTTGGTAGCACACAATGGGGTCTGACATACAAGATGCACAAACCTAATTTGTAGTGCAAATCACTACTTCTGGCTTGTGAATATCAGATTGTGAAATTAGTATAAAGTTTTCCCGAGGAATTAAATATTCCAAGTCAGTAAAATTCAACAAAAAAAGGCTGGTAGGCAAACCATCAGTCTGATTGTTCTTTGATTCCCTCAGCTTACATTTGTCCATGTGGTGGTTTGAATTTAAAGTATGAATAATAATATAGTGAAACCCCACTCTGATCCCCATAAAACAGGTGCACATCCAAGGTGGGGGGGGTGGGGGGTGCCCTGTAAACCTGAGGTTAGGAACATAGGAACAGGAGTTGGTCATTCAGCCCTTTGACCCTGTTCCACCATTCTATAAGATCATGGCTGACCCACTACCTCAACTTCATTTAGGTTGAGTTCAGTGCGTGGTCAACTTAGTGTTCTCCGTGCGCTTTGCCCATGTAAAGTGTGCAAGAAGTGAAGTTGGTGGCGACCTGACATCGGAGAAGATGGACATTTACCAACGAGGGGAGCCGGTGCACATGCTCAGATGGCAGGAAGTGATGGTGGTCATTTTTCAGGAAATGATGTCAGCCATGGTTCTTGCAGGCACAATACACAGGAAGTGACATCATGTGGCCATTTAGGCTGTGTGCCGCCATTATTATGCGATGTTTGGGTTTATTGGACTTGAAATATTATGTTATAATGAGGTTCTTCTGTATTAATAATCCTTACATTTGATATAGTGCATGAACAACAACAACAAAATTACATTTGTAGAGCGCCTTTCAGGTCGAGAGGACGTCCCAAAGGCTAAACTTTAGACTCTTCAAGTCTAAACATCTCAAAGTGCTTCATGGCATTTACTGTAAACTGCAACATGGGTTGGAATCTAATTAAGGGAGATTTCAGTGAAAGTTTGCTTAAAGTGTAGTGACTGCCTATTCGTAGGCAACTGCACCAGTGAATTTGCACACCATAATGCGTCACAAGCAGCCACAGAGTGAGTGACCAATTATTATATTTGTATTTTCTAAATGATTGCAAAAGTTACATTAACTGTTTGCAAATATGTACAGGTTCAATTTATTATGTAATCATAACCAACATAAAGGACCAAAATATCACCTGCAGTTCTTTGTATTGGTTACTAATGTTTGAATAAGAGTACTTATGTACACATGTATGTGCATTGTTAATACAACTCAATACAATTAGGCCCCAATAACTTGTCCGCACTTGTGTTGGATGCTAAAGGGAGATGGATCTTGAATAGGTTCTATCAGTCTGATAACATCAAGTCCAGCAAAAAAAGGAAAGCTAAATTAGACACTTTCAAAAATATTCTGTTGCAAAACATCGAGTATATGGTGAATCAATCAAGTAGTAAACCTCAGCAACATGGGTTTGAAACTAGTCAAGGGAGATTTAAGTGAAAGTTTACTTTTTCTATTAACTGTAAGAAATATTAATAAAATGTATTTTTTTTAATGAATGTATGTTTGGGTTGAGATATCCAGTGCTCAGCATGTGGATTCTCTGAACTTGAATGTTGAATAATAAAAGCATTGTATAGGTGGCAAAGTGATCAATCGTCTCTGTCCCGGTGTCATTTTGGATTCCTATTAAGCTCAAATACTTGAAACCAATTTACTTAAATGGCAGTTTTCAAATTTGTAATTGGCTGTGAATACAGACTCGTAAATAAGGAATTCTGCTGCTAACCAGCGGAATGTATTCATGAGGGAGAATGGAAGAGAGGGGTATAGGAAAGGGAATTAGCAAGGGTCAAGGTGATACCAAATTTGATATTTGATGTGATATCAAATGCAAGAATTATTATGATAAGAAACAAAAGGTTGCATACTCAATTTGCCAGTCTGTACTGAGGTAGCTGATCCCAGCCAGAACAGCAGTTGGGTCTCTATGATTGGCGTCAGTACCCCTGGAATCCTACTTCTAATTGCAGTTCAGTTACTTCAGCTGGTGTGTGTGTGTGTGTGTGCAGAGGTTGGGCAAGGATACAATTATCTGTATTGCCCTACTTGGTTGCATAAATGCTAACATTTACTGTCGAGACTTGCACATGAAGAACAAAGTTCTAGAGCACCCAACAAACTGTACATCAGCAAAAAGTCAGGGGTTTCAAGGAGATTAGTTGAAAAAACTAATCTAACCAGAAATTTGGCAAATGTTTTTCTGTATAAAAACCCCTCAGTGGCAACCCTGTAAAACATGTTCTCAGAACTGTTCATTCTAAATATAGAGAGTGGTTAATATGAAAACCACTCTCCAAAGCCACATGACTTTCAAAACAGCTACAGAAACAAATAAAAATTAGCTTTCTGAAAACAGTCACACCAGCAACACAACAGAACCCTCAAACTCTCCACTCATCATTTTTTCTTGATCTTGGGCTCCACTGGTTTAAACCATTGCAAAAAAAAACCTACCTGAAAGTATTTTTCTTTTTAACCTTCTTATTTTTCTTTTTCTTTGTTTTCCTTATTTTGTTTTTCTTCTTCTCCACTTCCTTCTTCTCCTCTTCTTGGTTGTTGCAGTTCGCTTGTTCTGTGGCCTTGTTGCTTGCCTGTTCTAGTTCCATTTCTATTTCCTCCTCCTTATCAGAATGCTTCTTCTTAACATTTTCATTTCTCCTGTTCTTTTTACTTTTGGCTGTTTCTTCTGATTCACCCAAATTGTTTTTACCAGCCATTCTTGTTCCTTTCTTCAGATGTCTTTTTCTATCATTCACTTTTCTTTTTTCCCCACCCTGCAACATATCAGTTTTCTCCTTAACCTTTTTTTCCATTCTTTTCCTTCCATTCTTCCTTGCCCTGCTTTTTGGTATCTGCTTTGTTTCTTCCTCTGACTCCACACCTGAGACTTCAATACCTTAAATGAAAATGTGAAAGTTTATGTGTTACCTGCACTAAGTCAGTGAACTGGTGTTGGAGATGCTTCTGAAGCAGTCTTAACTCTGATCATTGGACAGCAGCATCCCCAGATAGTTCACAGCACTAGGCTACACATGGCACTCAACTACAATCTGTGGTACCAAGAAGTTGCCCGTCTGCCTCAACTTTCACATGTGTGCAGACGACACTCAACTCTATCTCTCTGTCTTTACCTTCGACTCCAGGACCACTGTTGTTCTGACAGAATGTCTGTCAGACATCAAGTCTTAGATAAGAGCTGACTTTCTACAGTTGAACGTCAACAAGACCGAGGCCCTCCTGATTGGCTCCTGTCAATGCCTCCACACCTCAGGCGCTGAGAGTATCACCATCTGGGGGCCAGCAGCTGGGAATGGGAGCGAGGGCCATATCGTGGTTCAGTAATTTCCTTAGTTCCCAGTTTGCTGTTGTAAGAACTCTTAGGATGGATCAAGAAGGGGACGACATTATGATCGTGCAATCCTGGTAATTGCACGGTGCCCTGAGCCAGTCAGGGGCCTTAAACGGATCCAGTGATAGTTTAAGGATTTCGGATTCTCCTGGTCTGAGATAAATCCATCTCGACTTTATTGATCGTGAGCGACCTCAGACCTTCACGACTTATTTGACTGCGACAACTGTAACAATTGAGTTACAATTTAGCACTTCAAAAGATATTTAATATTACTACAGTAGATAGTATTTAGTATCATTATCTAGTAAAATGTAGAGGTCCCAAACCCAAACCTTTGCCCTGACAAGGCAAACGTCCAAACTGAGCAAGGCCATACCTTCTCTCACTTACCACAGCCCCTGCACCAGTAAAGAGGCCTTAAGCATAATCTTAACAGTGACAGTAGCACATCAAATACCCACCTGAGGTCCTAGTGCTTTATTGTTTACAAGCTTCTCTACTCGTGTATTATATTTATCTTGACTTTTAAGATAAAATTCCCTGAAACAAAGTGTACTTCAATATGGTACATGCTGTATGGTGGATAAAAAGAAAAGCAGCATGCCATGCAGACCAGAATAAGTCAACACATTACAGTTGTGGTGTTGCAATCCCCACAGTGTAGAAACCTGATAACATTTACCTCAATGATAATGCTTCTTCAGTGTATATTTGTAGTTCAGTGTGCATACTTATTTTTGGTATTTAATATAGTGTAACTATACTTGCATGTCTGGACATATGTATATATATATATATATATGAGTTAACATCTCACCTATTTCTTGAACCTGATTTCCATCTTGGTTCTCATTGTCTGCTTCATCATTATCGACCTCAATGCTTACTGTTGGGAAAATAACCAGAATACGGTTAGGAAATTGTATCGTCTACAAGTCCACAAACCATTTCAACTTAGCATTAACCTAAGACAATTGACCATTTGATAAAATTGTCCATTGTGACATATACTGGCAGACCTCTGTGAAATTCTGACAAAATAATTAACTGCACCAGCAGTTAATGCTCTGAATGGAATAGCAACAGGCTTTGTCCGAGTAGAATATTGCTCCTGATATTCCAAACAACAGACGTCAAGTATAAAAGTCCAATTGGATGTGAATGTCATCAACAGTATCAAGTTAAGCTGAGTCAGAGAAGGGTCGGTGCTCTGTTCTGAAAGACTATGTAGTTACAAAATATCTTCAATATAGGTGCATCTGTTCTGTGGTTGGCATGCACCTTGAAAGGTTTCACAGCTGTAAGGGAAGGGTTTGATACATACCAATAGTTGCAGAGGAGTCATCAACCTGAGGGGCACCCAGGGGGATGTAATTCACATGAGCTGAAAGGTTTTAGTTGATTTAGTTAGTAGCACTCTCATTTCTGAGACAGAATATTGTGGATTCAAGCCCCGCAGTCTAAGCTAACACTCTATTGCAAGGCTGGGAGTGGGCTACGTTGTTTGACATGCCCTCTTTTGGATGAGATATTAAACCAAGGCCCCACCTGCCTGTTCTGGTGGACATTAAAGATCCTTTGGCACTATTTGAAAATAGAAAGGAGTATCTCCCAGTCTCTTGATCAACAATCTGCTGAATAAAATTGGTTACCCACATCATGGCTGTAGGACACTGCTTTGGGAAATTGGCTGCTGCATTGACCTACAAATACATAGTCACTACACTTGACAGTAAAATCCTGCAAAGCTTTTTGAGACATCTCAACGATGTGGTAAAGCACTGTACCAAATGCAAGGACTATTAATACCAAATTTCAAATGTTAAAGACTGTGATTACGATTTCGACTTTCCAATTATAGAACATAAATGTGGGAGAGAAATTGTCTATTCCAATGTCCATACAGATAAATTTATGCTTTTGGATGGCAGTTAATAACACAATCCTTGCGCCTTTTACATCAAGAGGATGTCTCTCAAAGCACGACACGGTATTTACTGTACAGTGCATTGAACATTTTGTAAGCGAATGCCGCATTTAATTTATGCACAGCAATGTCATGCAAATCAAATAGCTATGAAATGAATGACAATTTTTTGTCTAAGTATTAATGGCCAGGACACAAGGAGTAACTTCCTTCTCTTTTCAAATGGTGCTATGGGATCATAAATGTTCACCTGAACAGGCAGATCGAAGTGCTTCACAGAATGTACTGTAAAGTGAATTGACTGAGCATTTTGTGGGCGAAACATGTTAGCCAATTGCGCACATCAGTGTCCCACAAACAGTCATGGATTAATTGACCAATTTTTTTTTAGGGATTATTGGCCCAGGAAAGTCATAAAGAAACTTGCCTAAGATTTTGACCCGCCTTGGAATCGAACCCTGATCCTCTCATTTGCGAGGCGAGTGCTCTAACCAATACGCTACAGGACTACAACAGTAATTTTTGGGGCATTTGATAATACGTTACTTGTGTTAATTAATATGTGTTAAAGAACATCCCAAATGTTACCTCATAAAAAAAGCGTTCTTGAGCTTCACTTGAGGCAAACTGAAAAATACCATTGAAAAAAGATCATTTCCATATTTGATTTCATTCTCTCCCTTGTATTTTATTTTGTTGGCTTCAAAATGTCTGAACTATATTTAATTATTTAGTTAATGAAATACGGGTTCTCACTGAAGTGAAGATTTTCAAGCAGCATTGTCCCTGTCATTAATGAGCACATTTAAAATTCATGAGGCTCTGAGTCATGAGTTTCAGGTAACTAGGAGAAAGTGAAACGAAATGAAACTATAAAACTATCCTTCTTGAGTGGGAGATAAATAGTGTCTCCTTAGGGCTGAGCTGAAATGTCAGAATTGAGTCAACTCTCTGTGGCAGCCTCGTAGACTCTGTCATCCCTAAGTCTTGACTCTTGCCATCTTGAATATAATACATTTCAGAATTAGGCAAGCAGGGTGTGTCCTCCGTGTAAGAGAGGGTGTATTCCATTCCAGACACAGGGAATGTGCTTGTGTAAGTGGCATACATCGTGGAACTCTCAGTCTGGTTTCGATGCTCTTAAGCATGGTATGAGTTTCTACATTTGTCAGAAACCTGGCTGACAAAAAAAAATTAAAGCTTTTGAATAGCCATTTTCATTGCATTAAGTCTGCTCTAATAAAATCGGAGCGCGCACAATTTAGGGTATTACAATTTAAATAATAATACAAATAATAATATATTATTATCGCTATAACTATTTAAACTTTTCTATGAATAATCGAACGAATGTTTGAGAACTCATTTTCTATGGCTTGTAAAGCATTCTGACTTATACATAAATTGCTAGGTCATTCTGGAACGATATGTATTATTGAAGTTCATAAGTTAACTTGCTAATATTATTGCATACTGGATGGAGCTTATTGGACATTTGCTGATCTTAGAATCTTTCTGGCCCCAAAGTGCACAAAATACACAGTCAATCCACTTTACAATATATCCTGTGAAGCCCTTTTGAGACATCTCAATGAGGTGATAAGAAGCTATATCAAATGCAAAGATTATTATTATTATTATCAGTTATTGATGGGATATCATGATGTTTGAGAGTCACTACAAACAACAACACTTTTCTTTTATTATATGAGGCCCTCCCATTTCTTAGCAGCACAAAGAAGCCTTGAAATAATCAGTCTGTTTTTCGTGAAGTTTCATCAGAAATGTAATCGCTATGACTGTAATTCACTAGCAACACTTTGGTTTACAAGGGAATTCCCTTATTTTGAAAAGAAAATGGCTCCGGAATGTTTCTTTTGGTCTGCTTGGTGTTTTGACACATGCAGAAACTGATCACCATGCTCAAAAGTATCCAGACCAGTCTAAGAATTGCATGCATCCTATCTACACATGGAAACACCCATTCATTGAAATGGAATGCACACTTTCTCCCTAAAGCAACCCACCCTGCTTACCTAATTCCAGAGAATATTAAGCACAGCTCGGCACGGCCAAGGCTGAGGTATCCCAGAGTGTGCAATGGGATATTGCTAGGGTTTAAGCAGCTAAAACTGCATAGGTTGGCATTGACAACACTGTCTTGGCAAACTTCCCATTGGTTGTCCAACTCGGACCACCTGGCTTGAAGAAGGTTAACAGGAGTTGAATGGGATAAATCTCTATCTCCAGCGAAGTGGCAGATATATAAAAAATGAAAAAACCTTCATAGGATTTTGCTTTCCTTCTGTCGCTGGCTTGTTCTAAAATGGCTGCCATAATTGACAGAAATACCAAAATGACCACTGCTGATAAGTTGAAAAATGACTCCCAGTCTCTGTTAAGGATGGGGTCCTTTTTAACCCCAATTGGTAAAATAATGGTCGGTTTGCTGTAACTTTCTAATGTTTTTTTTAACCAGTGTAAAATATCCTCAATGTGTGTAAACTGAGTCACAGGTTAAAGTAATAATAATAATATAATAATAATAATCCTTGCAGTTGATATAGCGCTTTTCACATCAGGAGGACGTCCCAAAGTGCTTCACAGAACACACTGTAAAGTGAATTGACTGCATATTTGTGGGCGAATGCGGCAGCCAATTGCGCACAGCAATGTCCCACAAACAGTCGTAGATTGAAAATGACCAATTTATTATTGGTTTTGGTGGGATTATTATTATATATATATTATATATTATTATATAATATATAATAGATTGACTGTAGCCTGTGACACTCTCTTCCCTACCCTCTTATTTTATGGGAGGTCCTCCTGACGTGAAGGGCGCTATACAAATGTAATCTTGTGGTTGTTATTGTTATTTTGCTGCCTATTTTAAAAATACAAGTAATACAAAAGGACACTGGGCGTGGGATAATGCGTGTGGTTTGGAGTAGTGGATTATTGAGTGTTTGGATTGACAAACAAAGAAGCTTACTAACACACCTTTGATTTGAATGACACAATACATGCTGCTGTTTGATGTAAGTAGTTATTTTTAGAGCTAATAATGTAATGGTTTTAACATGACTGAACATTGCAGGAACCTATGCAAATTCTTCATAAATTATGTGTTTCAGTTGCTGAATCCTTTCACTTGTTAACTGAGAACAAGAGGTGGAACTCCATAGGCCACTATTACCAGTTATATTTTTAAACTTTTTTTAAAAAGTAATAGTCAAGTGTTTGCTTGTGTGCACTTTGGTTGGAAATATTTATTGCAGAAGTGCAGAACAGTAAGATTTGTAAGCAGTCTACACGGAGAATCTGCAGTGTTCATTAATTCTTGTTGCAATGTAAAGTGGCAATGTTGCAATTAAAGTGATGAAAAATTGGTTTCTTAACAGATGTGGGAGGAAAAATTCCACTTAAGTCTAGATTTCTCCTATTTATGTGGCATTTTTAAAACATCGTTGGAAAATTCTTAAATACAATCTTAATTCCCAGACGGTTTTCTATAAGTTTAAGAACTACAAAAAAACAATTTCAAAGTTAAAACTGAATTCAACAAATTGCCAAATGCTGGGCTCTCTGAAATTATATATAAAGAGAGGAAATCTAAACACACCTGTAACTCTTAACTCTTGGGTTAAGTAATATTATATTCACTATTATTTAAATGGAAACATGCAAAGTGTGGAGACTAGCTATTTTTCTTGATGAATTTAAATTGTTGGGAAAGTTTATTTTCGAGTTGGTTAAAGGATATCCAAAGTGTCAAAAACACAAAAGGAAATTTCCTTTTCAATAGGTGGTATGCATGTGTGGAACTCTGTCTTATTTGGATAATCTAAAGCATAGTGATGGTTTTATGCAATTGACAGATACCCACCTTAAAAAAACACAGAAATATCAGAACCAAAACGCAGAACAACAACAACAAGATTCCATTTATAGAGCGCCTTTCACGTCGGGAGGATGTCCCAAGGCGCTGTAAATTGAAGGAAATTGAAGTGAGAGCAATAATTTATATATGCTGAGACATATGCGTAGTTGTCAGATCAGAGTAGTTCAGACAGAGCTATATTCGTGAACGCAGGCGCTGAAGAAAATAGTGGCGTTAGATTGAGACATTAATGTGCTCTTGGGGATAGCCAAGTGTGAATGCCTCTCAGCTTACATGGCTGGTATTAAAATTCAATAGCTTAGACAGTTAAACACAGAAAGAAGGTGTATGTTGGAAAGGATGAGATTCACAAAGTTGACAGGATTGGGTCACAGTGGGTCTTTCATGGAGATGCATAACTGCAAAACTAATGAACTCAATCAAATTGGAACACAGGGGTTAAACACCAAACTCCTGCCCATCTTACTATAAATATATAACTAACAAAAACACTGGAATCTGATAAGCAGCCTCTCTGATGGATGAAAATCCTAACTTCTGGATCTCCTTCTCTGAAATACCACAGAATAGTAGAGAAATATTAGTAACAGCAGAAAAACACATTACAGTGAACCCGCGGCTGACCGTATATCTGGAATTCGGACCAAGCTGAACCGGGTTCCGAAATACAATTTTTTAAAAACATTTTCGCAGGCCTGTACACGTGTAGATTCCCAACGGCTTACTCTCATAGTGTGTGTCCCCGCCTCACCATGCTTGCTGGCCTTTAATAAGTTAAACAGATTCAAGGGTGACAGGCTCTTCAGGCAAGACAACAGGGCCCTGCAGTGGAAAGAAGAACAAAAGGTCTAATTTGCTGATAAGGAATCACATAAGAATTCCTGTCAACTGCAGGAACTTTATTCCGGATGTTGTTTGTATCAGAGCAGCGTATCTATGGGTGGACTGACATACTTCTGATTACCGAAAGGAATTCAATATTGGTGACTGAATCCTTATTAAGGAATCTAGTTAAGAAATAGAATTTATATTTATGTAGCGCTTTTCATGTCAAGAGGACGCCTCAAAACAATTCACACAGTCGAGCTGTTGGGGGTGGGGGAAGGTTGAGGAAAGCAAATACTCCAAATTAGTTATTTGCCATAGATGAGGTAAATAGCATAAATTAGATCCCAATATCTGCGAAATCTTTAGAATACATTAGAATATACAGCACAGAAACAGGTCATTCGGCCAGTGTTTAAGCTCCACATGAGCCTCCTCCAACCCTTCCTCAACTAAGCCTATCAGCATATTAGAATACAATATGTGAAACCTGTTGTAGATTAACCATTGATTCTGTTTAATAATATATTTCATAGGTGAAGGATGCTATATAAATGCAAGTTGTTTCTGTGATTACATATAGGCAACAGTTAATCAACTTAGTTTCTGAAAATCTTACTTCAAAATAAGTTTCAAGTGAGGCTTATTTTTAGCCCTGAGGAAGTGAGGATTGTGATGTTTGAGTGTATGTGGCTTAAGTACATCCCTCTTAGGACTTCACTGTAGCTCAATTTGCAGTTCATTCCTTGTGACGTTAACCTATTTTATGAGATTGTCACACAAGAACATTTGTTGTGAGGGAAATTTCCTACTCAAATGATTTTAGCTTTTCTCGTAGAGGTTGATAAGTGGTCAATGAAGATTGACCGTTCTCAAGAGAACGCATTGGTAATCCATCCATTTCTTGGCATCCCCCTATCTCTCCAACCTCCTCTCTCCCCACAGCAGTACCCGCTGCCTCCACTCTACTGGGTCCAGCCCCTCCTTGTCCCCTGAATCCTCCGCACCACCATCAGTGACCGTGCCTTCAACCACTATGCCCCAAAACTTTGGAACTCTCTCCCTCAACCCTTTCGCCTCGCCCCCTCCTTTCCCATCTTCAGGTCGTGCCTGAAGACCTTCCTCTTTGACCGCGCATACGGTGACCTTCCCCCTCGCCCTGGCTCGGTCTCAGGCTCCGCCATTATTAAGCGCTCTGAGACGCCTCGCAGTGTGGAGGGCACTATATAAATGCAAGTTGTTGTGGTTGTTGTTGTAATACACCAACCAAAGGGGAGGGGCATGGAAGGAGGGAATCGCTGGTTAAATATTCTGCAAGACTTTCCTTTGTGGGCTAGTGACTGTTCTCCAGGAGAGTTCCTTGTCTGAAGGATGGTTAAACATTCTCCAGAAAATACCTTAAGTGCTCAGTGATAAGTTATCTGGAGTAGCAAGTTAGCCATATATATGTATACTTTTTTTCATCAATAAATGTAACCGAGATATTGACATCATGATGACAAGTGATCCTGACAAGTTAAACCAGGGTCGACTTACTAGGAGTTTACTGTACGACGACTGTGTTTTTAAAAATAAAGGAGAAAAATGGAACAATCCTGTTTCACTTGGGGTGAAGTCAAATTTAGCTACTCTCCAAGACAACTGCCTGGTGATCCGATGGCTAAGAGGAAATGTAATGGTTCTCCGGAAGACTTCACAAGTGCTCCAATGTTAGTTTCAGCAGAGGAGAATTCCATAACATTACTAATGTTGAAGCTAAGCCTGACTCACACAAATTAAAACAATTCTTTTAAAAAAATGACAGCAAACACAATTAAGGCGGCAAAAAAAGGTTTAGCAATCAAACAAAGCAATCAAACCGTAGCTTAATTTTAAGAAGTGGACTGAACTGCATGATTTACTTTTGAACACAATCAACTTATTTTTGAAAAAGCTTATTTTAAAACACATTTCATAAGTGATCCATTACCATCACTTTCCTTGGCAATCAGTTTTTGATGTCGTGGCATCTCAGCATCAATCCTGAAAACGTCCACTTGGGAGTTTTTAACCGATGTACAGAAGCTAGTGAAGAATCTGGGAAGCAATGTTCTGAAGTCAATGTAGGAGAGTCTGCTTCTGTTAATTTGTGCACATATCACCTTCGGGCAGATATTTTCGCCTGTCATTAACTGACTGCAGGCCTGTTTTCACCCCCGTGAAACATGATAATTATTAATCTTCCCGTTAAAAGATTCATGAGGCTTTGGATTACTTTTCAGTGAAAGGTCACAAGGTAAAGTAAATTAACAGACCTTTCAGTAAATGTTACAATAGGGCACTTTTGGTGTAATACTAACCGGTAGGTTTCAGATGTTGGGTTTCATCTAATTCAGAATTTAGTTTCCTTCAATTATTTGTGTTACTAAGCCTTGTTTAGATTTCTGTTCATCAGTTGAATAGTAGAAAGTGATTTTGTCACAAATTCTGTTGTTCTCTTTATTTGAGAATTTTCACTCAAAATCTACATGTCATCTTGTTTGAGGTTGGATAGTTATCTCAAATGCTTTGGATTTGTTTTTTTTATTGTTCTTATTTGGTCAGCCAGGGGTCTGACACATGCGGAAGCCCATTCCATGCTTAAGAGTATCCAAACCAAGCTGAGATTTTCATGCATCCCATCTACACATGGAAATCCCAGAGATAGCTTGTTGGAATGATATGCACACTCTCTCCCTGGAGGTACACATCATGCTTAATTCTGGAAAGTATTAGGCACAGGTTAGCAAGAGCCAAGGCTTGGGAACCCCAGAATACTGCTGGAGTCTAAGCAGCTAAAACCACATGGCTTGCCATTGATATTACTGCTTTAAGCTTTCCTGCTGCTTGTCCAGCTAGGACAAAATAACTAATAATAATAATTTGGTCACTCAATCCACAACTGTTTGTGGGACACTGCTGTGCGCAATTGGCTGCCACGTTTCTCCCACAAAATATACAATCAATTCACTTTACAGTATATCCTGTGAAGCTCTTTGATATGTGATAAGGTGCTATATCAAATGCGAGGATTATTATTGTTATTAGGATCACCCTACCCATTAGGGCTTTGGTTACCAGGGTTAACAGCCGAGTGGGATGACTTCCTACCCCCAGTGACTAGTTTGCCCTTCCAGGTCCTGCCGATGAGCCAGACCATCAGCAGTGCTGATACTGCGGACCCACCTGGCTCAGGAACCGGGCTACTGAGACTGCCACATTCCATTGCCAGGCTTGTCAATTTGGAGCCTGTTCAGCTCCAAGGAGACCCCGCTTACCTTTGGATTTTGTAGTGTTGAAGAATGCAATTGGAATAAAGTCTCATCACTCCAAGAGAAAAGGGCTCAGTGACAAGTTATCTGGAGTGACGAGTTAGGCATTCGTGTGTGTGTGTAAAAACAAATGTGCCCAGGAAATTGACAGCATAATGACAAGTTAAATCTTGGTCAGGAACAAGGTGGGGATACGTTCAGCCACCTCAGCCCCCCCACATCACCTCTCCCTCATGACCCCTCCACCCTCCACCCCTATACACCTTCGACCGTATCTCTCCCTCCTCCCTCACCACGACTGTCCGCAAACTCAAACCCACCACCTGCTCCCTCGATCACATCCCCACCTCTCTCGTCTCCCAGCTCCACCTTATGACCCTACTTCTGTCCGATGTTGACAACCTCTCCCTTTCCACCGGTTCAGTTCCCACCCCCCTAAAAAGAGCCGTCATCACCCCCATCCTGAAAAAACCTTCCCTGGATCCATCCATCCTCTCCAGCTACCGCTCCATCTCTAACCTCCCATTCCTCTCCAAGGTCCTGGGATGAGTCGTCGGGTCCCAGCTCCGCTCCTTTCTCTCTCGCCATTCCCTCTTTGAACCCCTCCACTTCTCCTCTTTACTCAATCTTCACAGACCTGCCCTTGTCTGTTCGATTCCTATCTCTCTCACAGTCTCCACTTCGTTGCCTCTAACGGTTTCTCCTCCAGGCCCCGCACTGTCACGTCTGGCGTCCCCCAGGGCTCTGTCCTTGGCCCTCTCCTCTTTAATATCTACATGCTCCCCCTTGGTGACATCATCCACAGACATGGGGTCAACTTCCACATATATGGGGATGACACCCAACTCTATCTTTCAGCCTCCACCCTCAACTCCAGGACCACTGCTGTCCTGACAGACTCCCTGTCGGACATCAAGTCCTGGATGAGGGCAAATTTCCTACAGTTGAATGTGAACAAGACTGAGGCCCTCCTGATTGACTCGCGCCAGCGCCTCAGCACCTCAGGCTCTGGCAGCATCAATCTCCATGGCTGCACACTACAACTCACCAGCCAGTCAGGAACCTCGGTGTCTTGTTCGATCCTCAACTGTCTTTTCTCCCCCACATTCAAGCCAGGACCCGCTCTGCCTTCCCTCACCTCCGTAACATCGCCCGACTCCGCCACTAACTCACCCCTCAGGCCACTGAAACTCTTGTTCATGTCTTCATCACCTCCAGGCTTGACTATGCAAATGTCCTGCTTGTCGACCTTCCCAACTCCTCCCTCCACAGGCTGCAGATAATCCAGAACTCTGCAGCCCATGTCCTCTCCCGCACCAAACTCCGTGACCCCATCTCCTCCACTCTCACCTGACTCCATTGGCTCTCTATCCTTCAGAGGATCCAGTTCAAGATCCTTGTCCTCACCTACAAAGCCCTCCATGGCCTCGCCCCACCCTACCTCTGCGACCTCCTAACCCCCTACCAACCCGCCCGTTCCCTCCGCTCAGCCGGCTCCGGTCTGCTCCATGTCCCCCAACCCACCCGCCCCACCAGTGGTGGGAGAGCCTTCAGCCACTCTGCCCCCAACCTCTGGAATTCCATCCCCCAATCACTCCGCCTCGCACCCTCCTTAGCCTCTTTCAAGTCCCACCTCAAGGCCCTCCTCTTTGACCATACCATCGGTCACCCCCTTCCCTTCTCCTCCCTTACCCCCCCAACCCCAGCTCAGGTCTGAAATGCTGTACTCTGTCCAGCGCCTTGGGACGTCCTCCCGACGTGAAAGGCGCTATACAAATGTAATCTTGTTGTTGTTGGTGGTCGAGTTATCAGGCGTTTGCTGTACGATGACTGTGTTTTATAAAATAGAGGAAGGAAATGGAATAATCCTGTTTGATTTGACATTTAGCAAAATCTAAGTTAGAATAATTATTCACTGTAATGAGCAAACGAGAATTGTTCTCCATTGCTGATTTGAGTTAAATGGCTCTACAAAAGTTTCAGATCTAAAGTGTTGCAGTGAGGAGATTTCATGATTTCTGCAACTAAATTGGAAAAAAATCCTGTTTGCAATTGCAGCAATGTCCTTCACCAATTTTTGAGTCGTGTAACTTGAGCTTGCCTCCACACTACAAAGTGGGTGGGAAGATGACCAAATATTCAATATCAAAGTTCATATATGAATAATGAACATTTGGTGAGGGACCAGAAGACACCAACAACAACAACTTGGATTTATATAGCGCCTTCCACGCCAGAGGGCGTCTCAGAGCACCAATAATTTTGACATGCAAAAGAAGGCAAATACCTTGAGGATAAAAGAAAGGGAAGGGAGAAAACTGGTAAAAAGGAAAAAAGTAATAAAAGTGGAATTTAGCCTGCATGGGCAACTAAGATTTTTTTTGATAATTTGGGGAGATTTTTGGCATCAAACTGGCTGATTTAATATTGGGGTTTTTCACTCTCCTGCAAGAGACGTCATTGGAATTGTTATTTGCCCTTGTTAATTTTTTTCTGTTATTTACACAATTTCATTTTAATGCTTTTGTGGAACTTCCGGTAGTTTGGTTTGAATACTCTTAGCATGGTGATGGTTTTCTGGGTGTGTCACATTCCTGGCTAATCAAAAATAACATTCTGCTATATTATTTTGTTTTCATTCACCTGTTTGTGGATGGCTTGGCAATAGCTGGTGTATTTAGTATCTATTTTAAATTAGTATGTTGTTATATATAACAAAGTAGAAAGGGCTTTTTTCTCATGTTTGGCATTGGACCTCAAAGAAGAATTTGGGCTCTTAATCCATCATATCTTGCTAATTATGGAATGACCGCTTGTATTGGGTAGGTTTGCTCAAGGGTTTGTGGTGGATTTGTTTGTATGGTTGCTCATAGGTGCTAAGATTGCTAAGGAGGTTGTGGTGATTCAAACCTTATCCATTTCCACCCTAAGATAATATTGTTCCCCACTCCCAGTCCCAGCCAAACAGAAACCATTGTGTCATATGGAGAAACTGTCCATATGTCCTTCAGTACTATTCTACTTCATACAAGTAATAATAACCATCCTTGCATTTGATATTGTGTCTGATCTAGTCAGTGAGATGCATCTAAGTGCTTCACAGAATATACTGTAAAGTAGATTGACTTTGTATTTGTGGGCTAAACACAGCAGCCAATTGCGCAGAGCAGTGCCCCACAAATAATCATGGATTTTTTTGAGGAATTATTAGTGGAGTCCTGTAGCTCAGTGGTTAGAGCACTCACTTCGCAAGCGAGAAACCTGGGTTCGATCCCAGCAAGGCGAAACCTTGGGCAAGTTTCCTCACTCCACACGCCTGATAATAATCCCTCAAACAAAAGAAACAATAATAAATTGGTCACTTCAATCCACGACTGTTTGTGGGACACTGCTGTGCACAATTGCTGCCACGTTTCCCCCACAAATATACAGTTGATTCACTTTACTATATATTCTGTGAATATACGTTTCAACGCGCTATATCAAATGCAAGGATTATTATTATTATTAACCTCCCAGAAAGCGATCCGCCAATCGATTTAACAACTGGATTCCTACTTACTGATAGGTAAACAGCGGCGTTTGGAGTAAGGAAACTTACCCAAGGTTTCACCCCGCCAGGGAATTGAATCCGAGTCCTTTCACTTGCAAGACAAGCATATTAGCCACGATGCTGCAGAACTCCCAAAGCCAATTTACTGCCATATTAATGCCAGCATTTGCCCAGCGCACTGAC